CCAGGTCACAGTCCCTCAAACTGTTGGAGGGCCGGATTATAATTTGAAAAAAAATGAATGAATTCCTATGCATACTGCACATGTATTATTTGTAGTGCAAAAAACACTTAAAAACAATACAATAATTAAAATGAACAATTTAAACAAATATAAACTTAATAGTATTTCAATGGGAAGTATGGAGCTGCTTTTGTTGATGAGATAGGATTGTTGTTGTGCGCTTTCAAGTCGTTTCAGACTTAGGTTGACCCTGAGCAAGGGCAAGGTAAATGACCTTGGAGGGCCACATCCGGCCCCCAGACCTTAGTTTGAGGACCCCTGGTATAGATGCAAAAAAAGCTACTTATATTGTCATCCTTGGAGCGTGAGGGTACAAACAGAGAAAGAAAACACAAGATACATAGCACAAGATACACACAGCTGAAATGCAGGTTAAAATTCAATAAAATGCAGGTTAAAATTCACAAGTTAAAATTGTGTTTGTGTCTTAAATACAAAGGAAAAGACATTTGAAACGTTAAAAATGGTAGATGACATGTATAATACTTGTGTGGAAGATATGGATGTAACAACTATACCAAGTGTGTGTGTGTGTGTTTGTGTTTTAAAAAGAGTCTCAAGACGTGGCTCTGCCATTGCACTTTTGGAGAGTAGCCACATAATTTTATGCTAGTGCTCCCCCAACGTTCTTGTCCCAGGAGTCCCCCATCCCCCCTATGTACGAAAGTTCGCTTATTTTCCTATCTCTCTCTGAGTTCTCCCTTACAATTAGTTCTGCCCCCTTATCTTACCCAGAGGTTTTAAAATCATTTTATGTGCATGCGGCCCGCCCTCTGTCATTTTGTTATTATGTTTAGCCTCCTATGTTCTGTGTATATTGTTTTATTTTAATGTTATGTTGTTTATTTTATTGCAATTTGTATTGTTATATTGTAATTCTTGTTCGGGCTTGGCCCCATGTAAGCCGCTCCGAGTCCCCATTGGGGAGATGGTGGCAGGGTATAAATAAAGATTATTATTATTATTATTATTATTATTATTATTATTATTATTATACCTTTTATATCCCCAAACCCCTTCCTCTTCTTTGGTTATACAACAGATATTTATAAAAGCTCTAATCTAACCAGAGCTCCACAACCCCATCCCCTTTTTATTTTTATCTTGTGTGTGTGTGAACAATATTATAGATCTCTATTATTTTTAAAGTGTAATAATAAAAACTATATGTGTGTGTGTGTATAAAAGGCATTGTGTGTATGTTCAGAGGAACATTTCCCCATATCAGTTTGGTCTAGAATTTGCTTCTTTGGCTGTTATAGTTCTTCACCAGAGGCTTTCTATTATTTTTGGAATTTGAGGGTGCTGACACAAACCTTCTGACCTTTTCGTAGCTGTATAGCTGCAAAAGATTAATGGATTATCAATAAAGGCATCGTAATAATTACTGAGGTTCAGAACTTGGAAACATTACTTTTTTGGGCCACAGCACACATAGTTCCCCAACCTGCAGGACTACGCTGGTAGAGGTGAACTTCCAGGAATCTTAGTGCAAAAACTTCTCCAAGGTCAAGAAACGGTCTCTAAATTATTTACTACATGTGAGCCAGGGTTTGTTGACCAAATTTATATCGGTTTGGTATGATAACAGGGAATGCTTACAAATATTTTAAAGGCTCAGGCTGTAGAATGCAATCATTATGAAGAGAAAATTTAAAAAGTTGCAATTAAAAATACAATCTAAAGGGACATCTACACTGTAGAATTAATGCAGTTTGAAACACTTTAACTGCCATGGCTCAATTCTAGGGAATTGTGGAAATTCCGGTGTTCCAAGCTCTTTAGTCTTCTGTCAAAGAGTCCTGGTACCTGACCAGACTGTTACTCGGGGTTCCATAGCACTGGACCGTGGCTGTTAATTGTAGTGTCAAACTGCAAAAAGTCATGAAGGGGAAATACTTTCCAGTAGTTGTGCATTATGAACACATATTACTGTTAGAGACTTGATACATAGAGGTAGGAACTGGGAACGTTTTATTGTTAGTAGTAATAATGATGAGGATATTAGAACAGCATCTTAGGTAGGTATGCTGGCCTTAGGCTACATAGAACTTATAAAATTTTATAAACCAAAACCAGAATTTTAACTTGTGCTTTGAAAGTACTTAATAGCTGGTGGAAATGTTTCAACGCAGTTCTCAGATTGAATTAATACTACTAATCAATTTGTCAGTTTTTTTCTTGACCTATCTAAAATTTCCAAATAGTGTTGAGAGAAATCATATTAGTGTTTTTTAAAGTCTTATTTATTGATTGATTTTGAAAGTTCAAAACTGAGACCAAAGCAATAGAAGAAAGAAGAAGGATATATGAAGATTCAGGCTAAAGCTAAACTAAAGTTGAAACAATATCATATCCCTAATTTAAAACAACAAATACTAACGGAAACACTAACCAGCAACTAACAGAAACATTAACTCTGATCCCCAAGCCAAACTGTAATGAAAAAGTAAACTCAAAGGAAAAAGTATATTTTATCATTACAGATCCAACCAAAAAGTCTAATAGAATTACAAATAATCATAGCTTAAAATATATTGTTAGGTTATAAAGTATAGATTCTAAGCAATTGGTTTCAGGGAGCAGAAATACTTATTGTCGCCTTCTGAACTATTACAGAGCAGTATTTTAAATTCAAAACCTTAACAGACAATCTTGAAAAATGCCATGGCTGATGCAATTAAAAGTTACAGAAATGAAGGAGAATTATCATGAAGCATATCTTTCATGGTTAGTAACTATTCAGCTCCATTGAGAATCACATGTTGAAAGATAATGAACCAGTGTTGTGGCTTGTTAGTTACTCTGAAATATAGGAAAAAGAGCAGAAGTAGAAAAGCAATAGTGCTTTAAGAAGAGATGATTTGGGGCCATTTTTGTAATTTGCCCTTACCCTGGAACAGCTGAGGCACTTTATGCTTCACAAAAATTACAAAAATTGTAAAAACATTAACAATTTTAAAGAAAAGTTTAACAAAAGTTAAGGTGAATTAAGACTATTATTATTTGTGTATATAAGGAAGAGGAAGATGTTTCCCTTCTCACTTCTAATCCCTTTTCCTTGTATGTAATGTTCTTTTGACTATAGGCCAGAGGACAGGAAATATCTTATCCCTGATATTTGTAAATCACTGTGGTAACCTTTTTATGCTGACAAGTCAGGTTAAAAATCCTTAATGGCATAAATTAAAATTGTCTTCCTTAGAGAACCATCCCCTGTGTTTCTGCACGAGGAGCTATTTTGACAAAGAACAGCTCATAAAGCAGGAAATCTTTTCTGTGCTTTGGGCTTTCAAGATCTTTTAATTGAGTAATTACTGTTTTTGGTGACTTACTAGCACTCACAGTACATTAGTTTGCTGAGTATATGGTTTGAGAACAAGTATCACAAAATTATATATATATTTCCTAAACAGATTTGACCTGTTTGCTTGCAGGAAATGTGTCCAATTTCCCATGTCACTGTTTGAAATAAAACTGGAAGAAAATATTTTAAATGTGGCAATAAATATAAGCCAATATTTTAGGTAAATAAGTAAAATCACTAAACCCCACTGTATTTGTGTTCTAGTGTGACATTTTAGAAAGGTATAGCTATGTTAGTCACATGGAGTTAAAATAAAAGAATATTTGAAAACTAATCTTAAAGACACCAGGCACCTGGATGATTAATATACTGCAACATAAACTGTATGAAACAAATAATGGCTGTGGATACTTATCACAGAATAAATATTCTAGTCTCAAATATGTTACAAGACCTCTTGTTTCATACTTGTTTAAAGGATATGTATTATATCCCCCATTGCAAAGAGGTGAGGAGGGCTATTCTTACTTGCCATAGTTATTTTCAAACCTGAGTCTTAAGTATCAAGAAAAAAAATCATTAGTTACAATTTTATTGGGAAACCTGGAGTCATACTAGCTAATATTCTTTTTTTCTTTATTAATCTAAAAGGAAGGAAAAGAAGTTAATAAGTCTATGTAATGACTTGTCATCAACCTGGTTTGGGACAGTTATATTTAGTCTTTAACAAGTATAAATGATGTTTCTGTGTATTTTCGAAGGCATTTACGGCTAGAATCACTGGGGTGTTGTGTGGTTTCTGGGCTATATGACTGTGTTCTAGTAGCATTTTCTCCTGATGTTTTGCCTGCATCTGTGGCTGACATCCTCCGAGGATCTGATGGTAGTACAAGTGGAGTATATATATACCTGTTTGTGTGGGGTTTTTTTCACTCTGTAGCTTTTGGTGTTGTTTAGGTCTGGAGGAAACAACCCCGAGGAACAAGCTGATAAGGGAAGAATAAATGTTTCAGGGGTAAATGTTTTATTTGTTTCATATTCCCAGAAGCTTCATATCTGCAAGTATGAACTGTAGTTTATAAATTGACCTTCAGTCATCTTATTTGTGGGTCTCTTGAGGTACTGTTGATTAAAACTGGCATCTTGTGATGATCAGAACTCACTTGATCATTTACGTCCTTGACAACTCTGAGTAGTAGGTCTTTAATTTTACCCCAGGATCTGTTTCACTTGCAGACAACTCCAGCACCAAATTGCACCAGACCAGAAGCAACAAAATAGGTGAATTTACATCAGGAGCTTCCCTGAAATGATACAGAGTTAAACCTGTGCATGTCAACATGAAACCTGCTCCACCCTCAATATCCCTTTGCTCTCATAAATAAGTTAGGTTCCACTTGGCTGAATATCATTAATGAACTCTATACAACATGCAAAAATCTAATGTGCCTCTGGTTGCTCAACATCATGGAAAGATTTCTTACATGCCACCCATGTTCCCATCAGTAGTTCTGCCCTTTAGGTGTGCAAGCAAAGGCCAGAAGTAGTGCTTGTACTTGCCCATAATGCTGACAGTGAAGTTGCTGGTAACCCTTGGGAACAGATAGATTTGAGGCTTTGGCCCAGTACATTTGTGGCACTGGATCAATAATAGATACTAAGCAAACCCCTGGGAAAACTCCAATTGAAAATCTTTAGTTAGAGTGTTCTAGTCTTACGGTTATTTTCCTTTCCCACCAACACAGGGCCTAGCACTACATTTACGTGTATTTGACTTAAATTTTATTTTGCCGTGACTGAGGTAATTGTCAAATTCTCCCCTTTATGTGAAAAGCCTACTTACATTCATTTAAAATTCTGGGGTTAAGCTTAGTTAAACATAGCTTGTCAAAATGTCTGAACTGAGCTGGTGAATAGGATACATGAGAGCTATTTAAAATTCATATGAAAGTTCCAAGAAATGTAGCTATGCAGTAAGATTGATCTGTTGGGCATGTATTTGCCTGCTTCAGTGAACGCTTAAGAGTGAGACTTGTCTGTTTTACATTGTTTTCTTTAATTGGCTTTTAGAAATGTGTTTTTTGCTCATACATTTTCAAAGAAACAGAATATAATGTTTCTTAGTGGGTGCCATTGCTTCACATGACCATGTACAGTACAGGAGGTGAACACTACAGTCTTATAACAACACTTGCAACCATTGCAAAAGTTTTTAAACCATTTTACTATATTGCATAGAAGATGGTTAATCTGCTGCAGAAATTTCATAGCCTGTTTTAATTTATCCACAATGTCTGACCCATGCCATATTAAATTCCCACTTCTTAGAAGAATCTCCTTCTGAGTTGATCTGCTCTCTATCTCTGGTTTCTCAAAAGATTACTACTTTTAAGTACGGTGCCTGATTAGCTGTGGATTTGCCAAGTTGGATTTACAGGGATTTGAATAGGAGGCAAAGTGAGTCAGCAGAATGTGTGAAACAGTACAGCAGCATTGAAAAGCGTCATGTTTGACACACTGCAAAGAATTGCTTCTCTGCTTTATCTTAGGAAGAACATTCTAGCCTGAAGAGCAGGTCGCTAGTAGAGCAAGCTGTGTGGGATTCTATCTGGATTTTTTAAAATGCCTTTGCTCATTTTATAGGAGGTTGGATTGGATTTTGGACTTTGTTTTGGGATTTCTTGAAATATTATGTTTGGTATTTCAGTGAGAAGATCAGCGAGGCAAGCTGTGATCGCGGTGATACATGCTGTAGTCCCATTGCATTTGGACCATTGCAATATAATATGTGCAAGCCACCTTTGAAAGCTTCATCTGACTGCAATGCTGAAGCTAGATTTCTGTAACTAAGGCCAGTTACAGGAAATATGTGAAACCTTCAATCCTACATCACCCCACCACCAGTCTTTTTTGTTAAACCACCTTCACTGCAGCTACCATACTGTTTCAGGTCACAGGTCACATTGTTGATTTTGACCTTTAAAGCCTTACACAACTTGGAACAAGGTTGTAAGGCATCCTATCCAGATTCTAATGGTTTGAGCAGAGACCTTATTTATTTATTTATCTATTTTATTTACAGCATTTATATACCGCTTTTCCCACCCCTAGGGGGACCTACAACAACCCAGGTTTACACATAGATAATGGCAAAAATTCAATGCCTTACAACTACAATATTAAAACCATACTTTAAATATAAATCATATTAAAAACAGTACATCATCAAATATCAAAACAGTTATTAAAACCATAAAACAATCTTATTAGTCGAGTCGCCGTTCCAGTCCTTGTCCCACTAAAAGCTGCATACATCTATTGTCCGAAGGCCTGGTCCCAGAACCATGATTTTAATTTTTTCTAAAGGTCAGAAGCGAGGGAGATCTTACCTCTTTTGGGAGTGTGTTCCATAGGTGGGGGGCCGCAGCCGAGAAGGCCCTGCTCCTCGTCCCCGCCAGCCGCATTTGCACTGTTGACGGGAGCGAGAGCAGGGCCTCCCCAGATTATCTTAAATTGCGAGGTGGGACATAGGGGCAGATGCGTTCGGACAAGTAAGCTGGGCCTGAACCGTATAGAGCTTTATAGGTCAAAGCCAGCACTTTGAATTGGGCTCAGAGATGGACCGGCAGCCAGTGGAGCTGGCATAGCAGGGGGGTGGTATGCTCCCTGTATGCCTGTATTCTTCTCTTCCTCCCCACCAGTGAAGAAATGTTTGGTAGTGATGTGGTTGCTCCCAAGTTCTGAATCTACCTTCAAGTGAAACTAGGCTTGTCTGCACATGCTGACTTTCTAGGGGTAAATGAGGACCTTTTTATTCAGATGGCCCTTTTGAATTTTCATTAAGGATATTTTAAATGGCTGAGTGGTCATTTCTTTTTATTAATGTATTTTAAGTCCAGTTTTTATTACATGTGGTTTGAATGCAGTTTGAATTTTATTATAGTTAGCCATTTTGAGAAAGAGAAGAAGAATTGACTTGGGTCCCATTCTAGGAGAAAGGCGACATATAAATGCAACAAATAATTTAATAAATACAAGTAATCTTCTGAAAAACAGGTAACTTGTCACTGTTTGCTATATGATACCAGGGACAATGGTCAGGGATTATGGGTAATATCCATCCAGGGAGCAATAGGCTGCTAGGCCTGCCATTGCTGCATTGTATGGCTTCAAGAAAGTGGTTGCGTCTTGGCATAGCTTGGAAAAGTAATTTTCATGAACGATAACTCCCAAACTACCCTGGCTTGAATGGGGGGGTATCTTTGAAATTTATAGTCCAGAAAGCCATTTCTAAGGTCTGATTTGAGGTAAAGACAATTTGTTTTACCATTTCCATAAATCCTTTGCTTTATCTCAAATTATAGTAATTAGAAGGACCAAGGTAGGATGAAATCCTATGGTAAAAGATTGCTTTTCTTCTTATACAATATGTTACTTAGAAATGTCACCCAAGCAGAATATTATTCTTTCATAGTAGCAGCTGGAATGATATTAAGTTGGGCAATAATATTTCTGTATTATTGAAAGTGCAAAACTGTTTCATAAGTCTTGCATTTTGAAATCATCCTTGATACCTCTGTGGTTTCTGACTCAAGCAGGTACTGAATGCTCATTACAAATGCAAGGTATGTGACGAGGTAGTTGTATCACGTAGGTAAATTAATCATGTCAAACAACCTCTCTCATTTCCTCCCCAAACTCAAAATAACTATTTTTCTCCTCCACCAAAGCAAGTGGTGCAACTTGCATTTATGTAATTGATTCTGTAGCTTTTGGCCAAGGCAGGGTTTCCCTTTGAGCCTTCTACAGCCTGATTACAATATGTCTTTCATCATATGTTCACATAAACATCAATTAATTCAAATCAAAGAGAATATGATATGGGTTGTGACACTTTTAATATATTGGGTGTTATTAGTTTTCACATTTTCACCATGCTTCCTTTCTTTCTTAGTGGCTTAAGCCCAGCAGATGATAGTGGAGGTAAAAAGAAGAAAAAGAAACAAAAACGGAAGAAGGACAAGGGGGATCAACTTGATATGACCCAAGATCAATCTGTAAAGGTAAAACGTTTTTTCAGTTCTCCAACAGTTAGTAAGTTTACACATACATTGGCCTGTGGATCTATGTCTCTCATGCTGTGCTAATTTCTAGGCACCTATGACCTTAAATTAGGAATGACTTTGGATGTAGTCCAGAGAAAATGATTTCAGCTGAAGTGGCAACTAAGCCTACAAAAGGCATACTCTCAGGAGATTCTTTGACCTACAATACCATGTTGGCACTTATTACTGTTCTATTTAATTAGTGCAGGTAGGCTGAAATAATATTGCAGTGAGGGAGGCATGCATTGTCATTAGGTATATTTAAGGCAGGGATAAGCAACTTGATCTCCCTGCCTGTTTTTCGACCACATCTTCTGTAATTCCTACTTCTGGTGCATGCTGGTTGGAATTGATGGGAGATGTAGCCTTAAATATAAGGATGCTTATGCCTGTTTTAATTGGAAGACTAATGTCTTCTCCAGAATGGGCAAAAGAAAATAGGTCTTACCAAACAGACTCACTCTCACTATGCTCTGTTTGCAGGTGAATTCATTGCCACCAGAAAGGATGCATGAGATTCAAAAGGCCATCGAACTCTTCTCAGTAGGGCAAGGACCTGCCAAGACAATGGAGGAAGCCACCAAGCGCAGCTACCAGTTTTGGGACACACAGCCAGTTCCCAAGTTAGGTACATATATTTTAATATGTCTTCTCCTCTCCTATTTTTCCCCTTTTTATGCTTAGATTTAGTGGCTGGAAATATCTCCCTATGATTGAGACAGCCATGTTATTGCTATGTTTTTTCTTAAAAAAATCATATAATGGCATGAGGCAGGATGTAGCAGTACTGTACAGATTTATGGCTTCCATGGTTCCCAAGAAATCATATAATTTGTGTGAGTCTGAGTGATTAGATTCCTTATCTGAGGCCAAAGACCTGAGTGCATATAACCTGAGAAACAAGGAAGCTTGGACCTCACAGCAAACATTAGGAACAAGGCCCAGTTAATCTTCTTGGAGAAAAATGTGGAAATGGGAAGATTCGGCATCAGGAGGATGCTAGGCTTGTTTGCTCCAAAAAAATGGTTCAAAACTTGTTTCAGATGTAGGGGGCGCTGGTGGTTCAATTTCAAAAATTGCTTCCTTAAAAATTTTTTTTTTCCAAACTTTCCAAAACTTCAGAAACAGCTTTGTTAATGGCAGATACGCATGTGCAGTAGGAAAAAACAGCACTGGCACTGGGGAAACTTCAGGGGCTCTTCCACTCAGGCCACTCCTGACCGAGGGGCTCTTCCACTCCAGGCCTGCCTCAGCTGTCAATGTTGAGGAGGAGGAGGAGGCAGGTGCCACTTGGCTTCAGGCTGTTAGGAATAATGGGAGTGGAAACCCAAAACACCTGGAGGGGCCAAAGTTTGCCCAGGCCTGGATTAGATGCAGCCATGCCACAGTTCAATGTTATGGGATCCTGAGGTTTGTAGTATGGCACTCTTTGGCAAAGGAGGCTAAAAAACCATGCAAAACTACAGCTCCCAGGATTGTGTAGCATTGAGGCAAAGCAGTTGGAAGTGGTTCCTCGATAAGATCTGCCTGAGGGAGGGAGGCAGGAGAAGGAATGGAGGAAGAAAGGAGAGGGAGGGAGGAAGGAGGGAGGGAGGGAAGGAAGAGAGGAAGGGAAGGAAGGGAAGGAAGGTGCTTCTGACAGGTTCTCCTTCCTTTCCAAAATTGGTCACTTTAACCAATATCCCAATCAACCTTTAGTGCCACTGATCTATGACAGAAAGCACCATCTCCTTTCTCCCTTCCCCATTTTCTCCCGCCTTCCCCCTTTCCTTTTTTTTAAACCCAGCATTGGCTTGATCCTGTTGAGCGGAGGCTGCCTCCTGCCTGGCTAAACTCCCAGTTGCCAAACCTTGAGATTGGGGTGAGAAGGAAGGGGGAGTGAGGAAAACTTGGTTTGAATGCAAACTCCGGAGGGAGAATCCAGCTGGTAATGCAGAAAGGAGGAGGAGGAGGAGCCTGCTGCTCGGCCATTTTGGCTAATGCGCAGCAAGGCAGTGTGGGAAATGTAGTTTAACAACAGGGCCTTTTGCAATCTCTACCATTGGGGGCCTTCCCTTCACAAACTACAACAATGGCTGTGCTTAGGCACGCCCACCTCATCCCTCCTTTGCATCGCCCGGGAGGGGAAGCAAAACTTTACAAAAGTTGCTTAATGCTTGTGAAAATTAAAATAACCTTGGGAGACTTCCGAACATTATGAAATATTTATGAATAAAAAGGGTAAGTGGTTCAAATCGTAATTACACCTCTTACTTTTCCTGCATGGTTCAAAATTGATTCGGAAGACCAAGTTCAGTAGGTTTTAACGAATTTAAGGTTTTAACTAAGCGAACCTAAACAAGTCTATAGGATGACGTTTTTCGGACAAGAAGTGTACCTAGTAAACCCTAGATACTTTTTGGATTTGATTCAGCCAATCATCATCATGACCAATGAAAGTTGTGGGAGAGCTAGGTCCAAGAAAGCAACTTTTTCTGGTTTTGTTCTGCCTGGAACATATAAAAGGACTGGTCTGGCATTGAGAATGATTCTTAAGCAATGGTTCACACATGGAAATAATCTGGGCTCGTTCTTTTCTTTCCCCCCTCAGGAGAAGTCGTGAACACTCATGGGCCTGTTGAACCTGACAAGGACAAAATCCGCCAGGAGCCCTACTCCTTGCCTCAGGGCTTCATGTGGGATGCTCTGGACTTGGGGGATCGAGGTGTGGTGAGTAGGGATGAGGCAGAACATAATCCATCCTCGGAGGTTCTCCTTGAAACCATCTTCTCTCTCCCCTTACTCTTGCTACAAGGCTGTTCCACTATTTGCATGAGCTTCAAAGTCCCAAATCCTAGGCATCTGAGACTTTCCACGACTCGGAATAATGACTTTACGTTCCCTTTTCTCTATCTGTCTTTAAACACATCACTGTATTATCTGCTTCTGCAGCGTTACTCTCTTTTACTCCATTCAGCTTTTCTTTTCATCTCCCTCCTTGCCCTCCTAAATTCCTCTTGAAAACTGACATCTTCGGTCATTGCAAGTGTCTTCATTCTTGGCTCACCCCATAGTGTTTAACGTGGTGCCCTTGTGTGGATCATATGGCATGTCCTGTCCTAATCTCTGCATTGACTGTTAATAACAGGGTCTCTCATTCATAGAGTCGCCATAAGTTGGAGCAAACATAACATCAGTGAATAACAACTACTCATTTGAGTCATAGTTTCACAATGTGGCCAGACTTTTCAAACATGTAACATTTCAGTACTTTTACATCAGTTTTGGTCAACTTTTAAAAAATTCACCCCCTGGTTTGAGTCTCAATGCTTTATTCCCTCACTTAATAATTAAAAATAAATGGACAATATACTTTTATGCCATTAGAGCCTTAAAATATTACTACTCATTACAGAGTGCTTGAATTTGTAAATTGTTTTACCGTCTTGAACATGTCGGTGCTTGAGAAAACGTTCATGAGTTAAGAGTGTTACTGCCCTTGATGGGGAACCAAGAGTGAGAGAACAGTGCTTTGCTTAAAGATTACAGATAGGAACTGAACTTGGGGTCTTCTTGCATCTTTTCTAACACAACTTCAACTTGCCGGTTGTTTTACTCATGGAAGCCCTGTAATAATTCTAGCTATGTATGTCCTATCAGATAATACTGTTCTTTTAAAGGTTTGCTTCATTAAGCAAATTATGCTTCTCTCTTGTGGCATCTTTAGCTCAAAGAACTATACACTCTCCTGAATGAGAACTATGTGGAAGATGATGACAACATGTTCCGGTTTGATTACTCACCAGAATTCCTGTTGTGGTGAGTTACATTCCTATCTGAATATCTCTGGAGTCATCCCTATACATTTTTCCTTCCCTCCTCTTACACAAGGTTCATCATACAGATTTATTTTAATTTGCTTTCTTTCTATCCCACCTTTCTCCCAAAACGTTGGAGTACAAAATCTTCCTTTTATCCTCACAGCAGCCTTGTAAAGTAGATTAGGCTGATCTAAGGTCATCCACTCAGGATCATATTCAAATGGAGATTTGATCCTTAAGAGTGCATTTACACTGTATAATTATAATTCAGTTTGACACCACTTTTAGCAGCTGAGGCTCAATGATATGGAATCATGGGAGTTGTAGTTTTCCATAGCATGGAACCATGGCAGTTAAATTGGTGTCATTTCTACAGTGTAGATACACCCTGTAATTCATCTTTAATTGCCATATCTGTATCCTATGAAATCCATTGGTCTGTAGTTTGCTGAAGCCCTAGAGCTGTCTGCCTAAAAACTAATCTCCCTAACTCTAGTCCAACCCTTTACTCATTACTATGCTGAGTAAAATATATCAAAACTAGCCATCCCATGCCACATGTCGCTGTGGCCCAGTCTGGTGATCTGGAAAATAATGTGATGAGAAAGTGTTGATTTCTAATATATGTAATTTCTTTATGCTTGTGGGTAAACAGTATTTCTTGCTGTTTCTTTGTCAGTGTTGACGTGGAGATTGTCTGGTTTGCCTACTCTGGAACATACAACATATAATTGTCCTTCTTTAGGGGTCCCTTTCAAATCTATGATACTGTGTGTGAATATGTGAATTATATATCTATCTATATCTATGGCTGGATGGCTCTGTCAGGAGGGCTTTGATTACGTTTTCTTGCCCTGGTGAAGGGAGTTGGACTGGTTGGCCTTATGTTTTCTGTTGGTCATGGGGGTTCTGTGTGGGAAGCTTGCCCCAATTCTGTCATTGCTGGGGTTCAGAATGCTCTTTATAAATCCCAGTAACTACAACTCCCAAATGTCAAGGTCTATTTTCCCCAAACCCCATCTGTGTTCATATTTGGGCATATGGAATATTTGTGCCAAGTTTGGTCCAGCTCCATCATTGTTTGAGTCCACAGTGCTTTCTGAATGTAGGTGAACTACAACTCCCACACTCAAGGTCAGTGCCCACTAAACCCTTCTAGTGTTTTCTGTTGGTCATGGGAATCCTGTGTGCCACGTTTGGTTCTATTCCATCATTAGTGAAGTTAAAAATGCTATTTAATTGTAGGTTAACTATAAAACCCAGCAACTACAACTCCCAAATGACAAAATCAATTTTTTGAGTGATGGTCACTCGTTGGCCTGATAGATGTATTGTGTCCAGATTTGGTGTCAGTTCGTCCAGTGGTTTTTGAGTTATGCTAATCCCACAAACGAACATTACATTTTTATTTAGATTAGCTCTCCCCTGCCCCCCTTCAGAAGTTAAGTTGAGGTAACTTGTTTCACCTTTATGCACAATCTGTCCATGCTCAGAGGCACTTTATAGTGGGTTATTCCTGCCCTCTCACTAAGCTGTTCTGTCCAAAGGCAGCATACATTTTGGACATGGGACAGATCAGAACAAAGTGACTTCTCTCCCTCATCTCCTGTAAACAACCTACTTCTTCCTCTTTGTCTTCCTGAGGCCTAGTAAAGTAAGAGTGGTCAGCATGTTAGGTTAGTTGGCTCACCAGCCTCAATGTTATCTATATAAATAAAAATGTAATGTTCGTTTGTGGGGTTAACAGAACTCAAAAACCACTGGACGAATTGACACCACATTTGGACTCAAGACGCCTAACAACCCAATGTATGCCCTTAACTCAAAAAAATGATTTTGTCATTTGGGAGTTGTAGTTGCTGGGATTTATAGTTCACCTACAATCCAAGAGCGTTCCAAACCCCACCAACGATGAAATTGAACCAGACTTGGCACTCAGTTCTCCCATGATCAACAGAAAATACTGGAAAGGTTTGGTGGGCAGTGTCCTTTGGTTTTGGAGTTGTAGTTCACCTACATCCAGAGATCACTGTGGACTCAAACAATGATGGATCTGGACCAAACTCTACACGAATACTCAATATGCACAAATGTGAACACTGGTGGAGTTTGGGGAAAATAGAATCTTGACATTTGGGAGTTGTAGTTGCTGGGATTTAGAGTTCACCTACAATCACAGAGCATTCTGAACCCCACCAATGATAGAATTGGGCCAAACCTCCCACACAGAACCCCCATGAGGGCCACAGCAACGCGTGGCAGGGGACAGCTAGTATAATAAATGAGTTTATCCTAGTTCAACAGAGGAAGCAAAGTTCAAATACAAGCACCAAAGAGAAGTGCAGGAATTTCATGTTCTCTTCCCTGAATCCTTGATTTTCATGCTGCTGTGTATTGTTCACATATTTCTGTCTACAGAGCTGCAGAGAGGAGACTTGTTTGTTATTTGTTCTTGGATGCCTCGAGTTATATAAGAAGCTGCTGCCTTGCATTGTCAAGGCCAACATATCTTTCACTCCAGCATTCTCTTCCCAGCATGTTGCAGCTTTTCAAGGTTTCTGGAAGATATCTCTGCTAGGCAGATTATATAAAGTTGTTTACGTAGTGTTTTGCATTTCATTGCTAATGGACACTCTTGAAGCAAAACAATCTAATAAGCCCATGTCTTTTCTCTAGGGCTTTGCGCCCCCCGGGCTGGCTACCCCAGTGGCACTGTGGTGTGAGGGTCATCTCAAGCAAAAAATTGGTTGGATTCATCAGTGCTATTCCAGCTACTATCCACATATATGATATGTAAGTTAAGTCACAATTTTCTGTCTATGTTTTGAATTTGAGATAACCATAACTTGCTGGGTCTTGGATTTTTTAATAATTAAAATTGGGTCCTAATTTGGAGTTAGGTCTCAGAATTTAAAACAATTTTCCGCAGTTTAGCCTCGACTATATAACATTTTTGAAAAGCAGAGAACCTTAAACCATGGGTGAAGTCCTTGCCTCATGGAAACAAGTCTGGATTTCAAGACAAGCTGGAACCGTATTTTTATTATTATTATTATTTCTATTGTAGTCATATGTTCTGTATTTTTCTGCAATGTTGTTTATTTTATTGTAAGTTGTATCTTATTTTATTGTAATTTTTTGTATGGGCTTGGCCTCATGTAAGCTGCCCCGAGTCCCTGTTGGGGAGATGGTGTTGGGGTATAAATAAAGATTATTATTATTATTATTATTATTATTATTATTATTATTATTATTACATTTCAGTTTAGAAATTATGTAATTAGAAACTTCTACCATAGTTCTGCAAATCTGTATATTGGAGCATTTATGGTAATATTCCCAATGTGACATCAGTGCTGCAGAAAGTATATATTTTTTGCAAATGTAGTCTTTATTATAAATACGAGTGACCGTCTGTACAATGAAACATCTTGGGTTTAGAGAACTTCAAATTGTGTAACGTCAAAGAGGGCAGCTATTTTTAACCCCAAGGTAAGGAGGGAGAGATTATATAAACAGGGCATTTTGAGCAGATAATGTCTGTATTCTCCAATTTACTTGTAAAAATGCAACTGACAGGCTGCATTCACCATCCTCCCTCCCTTTTTTCTGAAGGGAGAAGAAGATGGTAGAAATAAACTTTCTCTGTGTGCACAAAAAACTGCGTTCCAAGCGTGTGGCCCCTGTTCTGATCCGAGAGATCACCCGACGAGTTCACTTGGAGGGAATTTTCCAAGCTGTCTACACTGCAGGAGTAGTGCTGCCAAAACCTGTTGGAACCTGCAGGTAAGCTAGTTCCTGGATTTATTTTTCTCCTTCTCAAAGATAGCTTCCTATTTGCCACTTTCTTTTACTGATGCCTGTCCTCCAATTGCACACTTGTTCACTGAATCTCTAGATTTAAACTCTCCCTCTGATGTATGTCATCCATAATATTTTTGTAGGAACTCTATGAATAACAAACAGAAAGCAAGCTACAAAATCTGAGATGGGTATTCAAAATGCTGGTTTTAACCTAAAAAACCCTGTACGGTTCCGGCCCAGTTTATCTGTCGGAAATTATTCTCCCCTATAAACCATCAAGGGCATTGAGATGTTCCGGAGAGGCCCTGCTCTCGGTCCCTCCACTTTCACAGTCGTGTCTGGTGGGAACAAGAGACCGGGCCTTCTCCATGGTGCCCCCCCCCCCCCAGCTATGGAATTCTCTCCCTAATGAAGTCAGTTCTGCCCCCTCCCTCCTGACCTTCAGGAAGCAAGTGAAATCCTGGCTGTGGAATCAGACCAGTAAAGATTAAAGTTATTGACCACAATGTGCGGACTGAGTTGGACGATGTTTTTAACTTGGCGAATGGTTTTATATGTATTTTAATCTTATATGCATTTTAACCTATTGTTTTATGGATGTTGTTTAAATATTATTTAGTGTTTGCATTGAATTCTTGCTGTTAGCCATTCTGAGTCCCTCCACGGAGGTGAGAAGAACAGGATATAAAAGTTCTAAATAAATAAATAGAAGATTTTATTGAATTGAGTAGCCCCTAAAGTCTTGGAAGCATATTGGAGTGGTAGATTATTTTTTCAAGCATATTTTTTTGTGATTGGAAATAGAAACTGCTGGCACGTTGCTTGGTCACTTAGCCCAGTGACCTCTAATTTTACCACCTAATTTTACCACAAAAAACTTGGAAAACATATTGATTGAAGTATGAGCTGAGGGTGGGAAATGCAGCAGCTACTGGTAAATTTCAAAATAAAAAGATACCAATAAAATTACATTAATTGAGGCATCGGTGAGTTAAATGTTTTTGAACCTTTACATTAAACTGTAATTTAAAATAAGAATGTCCAACTCGAAGTAAACCATTAGTCTAACCTCCTTCAATGTAAATGTGTTTACGTATCCTTCCAGTAATAATAGAGTTAAATAATAAATGTAATATAGACAGACAGGTTACCCAAGGAAGGATGCAGCAGAATTCCTTGAAAGCCTTCCTTTTTGCAAATGAAGACTAGAGAAATCCCAGAAACATCACCATTGTCCATAAAACATCCCCAAACTTTTGACTTACATGAGAAAAAGAATATGGAGTGCTGGAAGGAAAAAAGCAATTAGGCAGATATCCCGTAACTGCAAAAAACAAAAACAAAATATTGCCCATTATTCTGGGATTTGATTGAATATTTATATGGAATGAGATTAAGAGAAGTCTTCTCTTTTTGGCAGGTACTGGCATCGGTCCCTGAATCCACGCAAGCTGATAGAAGTAAAGTTTTCCCACCTGAGCAGGAACATGACTATGCAACGCACCATGAAACTCTATCGGCTTCCAGAGGTTTGTAATGGGCAGGGCTGGATCTAAAAATGTTAAGTGTGTAAAAAACCTTTCACGTGGGAATTACACCTCTCGCAATGTATGGAACAGAAGTTTTCGGCATTGTAGAATTTCAAACTGTTTCTCATAATTGGAAAGTGTTTTTCCATGAAACGTATTTGTGAGATGCTTTGTGAGCTGTAATCTGATGCTTGAGCCATACCTACTGCAGTTAGAAAGGCTTCTCCATCCCATTTCAGCATAAGCTCTTATTTGTGTCATTTCCCCAACCCCACTGTGGCAGAAACTTTTCTGTATTATCCTCACCCCTGTGCCATTCCACTTCTTTAGGAACACCAAAGATGATTCTCTATCAAGGGGCTGACTGTCATTTTAAAGGAATTTTCCCTGATGTATTTGCAGGAAGTCAAGTGGAGATATCAAGGGTGGGGTTGAAAGCAGTTACATCGATGTTTGGGTGAGGGTTTGGGAGCTATTGGCAGATTTTTACAAATCTGATATGGTATCAACGCTGTGTGTTCTTATGCCGAGTTGAACATGAATCAGCCGCCCACGACCGGTTTCGGCCTTAATCCAGGCCTTCCTCTGGTGATCTGAAATTGTTATATACATCAACATTTGCTGCAAATATATCCATTGAACGTCATATACTAAAACACATTTAAAGGTACTTGCAAAGTTATGAACTTGACACTTGTTATATACATCAACATTTGCTGCAAATATATCCATTGAACATCATATATTAAAACACATTTGGAGGTACTTGCAAAGTTATAAACTTGACACTTGTTCTCCTTAGGGATACAGGAGTTTTTTTTACTTAGTGGGATCTAGACCTAAGGAAAAAATGTGGCTGTAAGCATTTGAAAGTTACATATATTGAAAATAAATGTTTAGATGCCTCTGTGAGTTCCCTCAATGTACTCAAATAGGGATGTGTAGTATAATTAGAATGATTTGGATAAAACCCCAGAATTATATATAACAACTGTACAAATTTTGTTCATTTTAGACCATGTGGATAGTCTGTCCGTAATCTGAAGATCCAATATGTTTCTCTTTGTAGGAGTTTATTGTTGTAAGTCCATATGTTTGGATTGTGTAACTACTTCCAGTATATGGTATTTAAATGATTCTGGGTTATGCTGTAGATCATCAAAATGTTTGTAAAGTATCCACCTGAAAATTACAATGAAATAGGTCCTTCTTCTCAGCCCAAGGACATCTTTCTCTAAAGCAGAAGTGTTTCCACTTTTCAGAGTGTGCTTGCATAAGGCACATCCATATAGTTACCTTTTTTATTTTTGCAGATTTGTGTGTAGGTCAAGGCAAACCTACATGGCATGTAATTGCTCAGTTTCCACAGCAGGGGGAGCCAAAGAATAGGGCTATGCAATCAATGATAGATTCTTTCTTACTGCTTGAACAGGACATGTGTTCCCAGTGTCTAATTGCAGAAAGGGAATTAAAACACCATCATAAAGACAACAGACTGCACATGAACTATTGAGGGAAGGGCATAGTGCAGTATTGTTATCTGATGGTTTACTTTCAGTAGCTTTCAAACTTTCTCCCTTCAGTAAACATACAGATGACACAGATTGCTGGGTCATTTAGCTCAGTGTTCAGCAGTGTGTCAGATAAAGCCTTTTCTGGCCCTGCCTGCAGACTCAGGAACAAGAACAGGGATCTTTTGTATATACAGCATGTAACGTGTTGCAGAACTACAATCTCCTCGAAAATGCTCAGGTTGAGTATAAAAAAGGATTTATGTATCACAAATATATATACCAAACTATTAGAGTGGGCCACAGAAACAGAATTAGTGAAAGAATGTATGGGCCGCCAATATAGGTAGACCCATACAATTGAAAGAATCGGAGTTGATGTGGGATAAAAAATTAAAATATACGTATGCAACAGAGCTTAAAGAAAATTGGTATAAAATGTTCTTTAGGTGGTATATGATACCACAGAAACTTAGTTTGATGTATAAAATATCAATAACAAATGTTGGAAATGTGAACAACACATTGGAACTTTTTATCATACATGGTGGTCCTGCTCCAAAGCCAGATGCTACTGGAAAATGATACAAGAGGCAAGTCAAAAAATCCTAAAAGTCAAAATACAGATGAAGCCAGAATACTTCCTACCAGGAATTACTGATGAGGACATAAAGCTTGAAGAAAATGAAGATATTTTGTTTACATATCTGACGACTGTGGCCAGAATAACGTACGCCAGAAAATGGAAATTAAAGGATATGGCAACTGAAGAATAATGGCTAAATAAAGTCTGGGAAACAAAAGATATGGATAAATTGACCTTCTATTTGAAAGATTACACAGGAATACCTATAAAGAAAACTGATTGGCAGAAGTTTGAAGAGTTTATGAAAAACTGGATACCAAATACAAACTAGGGACATATGCGAGAGAAGAAGAAGAAACAAATACTTAGAAATCGAAGCCATTTGGGTTAATGAAGAAATAAATTTGATCAACACAGAAGATAACGTGGAGAAGAAGATTGGGAAGCCAAGATTTCCCTCTCCCCCCCCCCCTTTTCCTTTTTTTTTCTTTCCTCTTTTTTCTTTTCTTTCTCTTCTTTCTCCCCCTCCCCTATATTTTACCCTCTTTTCCTTCCTCCCTTCCCCAAAGGCCCCCCACTCCGTATTTTATGTATACTATGTTTGAAAAATCTTCAATAAAAACTTATTATTTTTTTAAAGGGTTTATGTACCACAAACCTTCTTAAGCAGTCAAATGTTCTCTCTCCTCAGACTCCAAAGACCCCAGGGCTGCGACCAATGGAGCACAAAGACATCCCTGCTGTGTATAGGCTACTGGCAGAATATTTGAAGCAATTCCACTTGACTCCTGTCATGAATGAGGAAGAAGTGGAGCACTGGTTTCTGCCCCAGACCAACATCATTGACACATTTGTGGTGGAGGTGAGACAGTTTTCTATTACCCTGAGTCGCCTGAGGGCTGAGAAGGGTGGTATACAAATATAGTAAATAAATAAATATTATCTGCAGTCAATTTTAGTCACAGGGTTTCGGAAACTGAAGCACAACAGTAGATGTTTTCTTTATTGTTGAACATTAACTAACTTCCTAGATTCGGAATTAAAGGGATTTATTTCTCAATTTCTCATCCTTTTCTCCAGAATACTGATGGGGAAGTGACAGACTTCTTGAGTTTTTACACCCTGCCCTCCACCATTATGAATCATCCGACTCACAAGAGCTTGAAAGCTGCCTACTCCTTCTACAATGTCCACACCAAGACACCATATCTTGACCTTATGAATGATGCCCTTATATTAGCCAAGATGGTGAGCTGTTGTCTTGTTTTCTATTATACAGTATTAAACTCCATTCTGTGCACCCTTTGGAAAAATGACATATTCTGTGGTATCACATGCAGACTGAAATATAAGCAGGAAAATTATCAGAGCAGTGCAAACATTCATCATAATTGAGTTTTGGGTGGGATGAAAAGTAAAAACAATTTTCTGACTCATGTTTCTTCCCTTTAGAAACTGCAGAGTATAAAAATTAACCTGATTGTTGTTTTTTATTGTCTGGAGTAGAAAGGCTTTGATGTTTTCAATGCCCTGGATCTCATGGAGAATAAAACCTTCCTGGAGAAGCTGAAGTTTGGGATTGGAGATGGAAACTTGCAATATTATCTCTACAATTGGAAATGCCCCAGCATGGGGCCAGAGAAAGTAAGTAGTCACTACTATATAACTATAAGAAGGCAACACATTGGAAGGTGCATGCTTTCCAAGCTGCAGGTCAAACTGAGTCACAAAACACCAAGTATGCAATGTAATCCTGAAGAACTCTCATTTTTAAGGCAAAAACTAAAATACTTTGAAGTAGAAGTAGAAAGAAATAACCTAAATATTTGGAGTTGGCAGAACACATTCGTGACAACCTGATCTGCATGGCATTTCAGTGTAGTCGTTTTCTGTGTTTTTGTAACATTTCTTTTATAAAGCACTGTACAGGTTTTATTATAAGTAATAAGAGCCCCCAGTAGCGCAACAGGTTAAACTGCTGAGCTGCTGAACTTGCTGACCAAAAGGTCGGCGGTTCAAATCCAGGGAGTGGGGTGAGCTCCCGCTGATAGCACCAGCTTCTGCCAGTCGAGCAGTTTGAAAACATACAAATGTGAGTAGATCAATAGGTACCGCTTTGGCTGGAAGGTAACAGCACTCCATGCAGTCATGCCTGCCACATGACTTTGGAGGTGTCTATGGACAACGCCAGCTCTTCTACTTAGAAATGGAGATGAGCACCACTACCCTGATTTAGACACGACTAGACTTAATGTCAAGGGGAAACCTTTACCTTTAACTTAATAAGAGCAAAGAGATACTGATATGCTTCAGATCATGCAGTGCGCTTCATGACTGGGATGAAGTCTTCTGGTGGCAACCCAGAGATCTGTTTTCTTTGCTTTAGGAATCCCCCCGACAACATTTTGCAACCTATATCCTAATAAAAAACGGAGAGATCTCAAAATATGCAATAGTGACTTTCCAACTCTTTGTCCTCCATCTCTTGCCATTTCCTCTTTTTTTTCTTTTTGGGTTCAACCTCATTTTCCTCTGCATTTGCCTCCAGCACTGTGTTTTCTTTATCTTCCCTAGCTGCTGTTGCCAGATATTGTAATATGACATATTTTCAGATTTCTTCCATTTAGCAGTTGGCAGGGTTTGCCCTGATTTTGCCTCAGGTGTCCTCCTGCTGTGTTCTGCTTTCAGATTGATCACAGCAAGGCTTGAAATTTTAACTGCAATCTAGAATTGGGAAACCTAGTTGTTCACTTCATAGGTCCATCCGTCCTGCCCCCCCCCCCCCCCCCTGCAAAACACACACAGTCTGGGGTATGAATTGCCTCAAATTATTTTTTACTATGAAGTGCTTCCCAGATATTTTCAGAGTGGCGCTCTGGGAGAAAGCCTTAAAATAGGTTTATAAAGTCACGTTGAATTGCTGGTCTGTTGATAGATGCTCTTGAGGCCTGTTTGCAACACAGCTAACTGCTGTATCATTCTGCCTCTTGTGGGTGAATTGAGGACTCATTATTTGACCTACTAGTGTAGTGACAAGAAACTCGAAGTTCTTCAACAAGGATTTCACAGGACCCAACTCCTACAACATAAATTGCCCCCAGACAGCAGTAAAGATCTTCTGTGTGCATAGGGAATGTTTTGTTGTTGTTTTTTAAAGATTCAAGACACATCTGGGCCACTTTATCCCCAGGCCTTGGAGAGACCTTTTTTTAACAGTGGAGAATGTAATGATAGAGGCAACTGGGAGCATTTTTGAGCAAAAAACATTCTGATGCTCGCTCCTACTCTTAAATCTTTTCTAAACCTTCCTTTTATACGTTTTTCCATAGGTTGGCCTGGTGTTGCAGTAACCAAGAGTCTTTGGAGAAGTATAGGCAAAGTTGCTGAAGAGTTGGGCCAGCCTGAGCTGGCTAGTCCTTATGGCTTCTACTTCCATGGAAGTGAGCACCTCCTTCAGAGGAATTTGCGCTCACTGCACTGGCCACGTGGACCCTCCATTGACACTTGACGATTGTATTGCGTGCCACTGAATGCGCCAATGTGTCGGCGCCAGCACTTGGCCTCTTCTTCCCTCTCCCTCACCCCTCGTACAAACATGATCAAGGGAATGTAACTGCTGAAAACAAGCTCACAATTGGCATATATTGGAGTTAACGGGTGAATATTAATAAAAATTATATTATATATTCTATATTTTTAAAATGTTTGCTGTTCACCTGAATGAGGAACAGGGGATGGGCCACCAAACTGCTTAGCTTTTTGTCTTAAGAATTACTACTTAAAGGCCCAGTTTGTGTTTACCCATATAAACCCCAAAGAAGTAGATGGGACTATTGGTGGCAAGAGTGCGGTGTTTCTTATTCCATCACTATTTCTGGTGCTTTTTTATTCTCCAAAACCACAGTTGTGCTGCACTGTTAGTTTTCTTGGGTGACCTTGGTCCGGACTGACAAATTTTCGTTTTCTGTCTTGCGCATGGAGCAAATGTCTAACACACTCCAATTCCATATTCAAATAAATTGATCTTAGAAGGTAACAGACTATTTTAATGACTGCTGGAGCCCACCAGTTTGGAACAACCAGATGATCTAGCATATCAACTCATCACTCTATTCCTACATTTGCACAAATAATTACATAGTGCAAAACTTGAATTACCGAACTTTGTTAGCCGTTTGGCTCTTAAAATCTGTAAAGGACATTCCTTGCGCTGAAAGATGAGTTTTTTAAAAAAATTCAGGAGATAATTTTCTTGTGGCTTGCATTTTCTTGAATTATGGCTTCACCCTGTTGGTTTTTGATCTACTTCTCTTGTGTTTTCCAGCAATAGAATCTAATTCATCAATGATTCTATCCAAAAAAATTAGCTGTGCTATATACCTTTACTTAAATCAATCAGCAGTCGCCCTTGGAATCAGCTTGTGTTGTTTCTACCTTTGGAAATAAAAAAAAATTGTGCTTCCTTTTTCTTTCCATAAAAATCTAATGTGGTGATAAAATTTGTTGCCAATGATTCCACTGTATATCTAGGTCAATGTATAAGAGAAAATTCCACACAAGGAAAAAATAGCAATCCAAAGCTGAGCTTCATGAATGAATGTCTTCTAGGGGGAATCCATTATAATGCCAGGATATCTCTCAGCAAGATGTTTATTTCATTGTAGCTTTTGTTTCTGAAGGTGGAAAAATTAAGTATTTACATGCATTGGCTAGAGAATGGTTTCTGTTGCTCTGTTTGAATTTTACAGTAGGCAGCTATTTGATTGAAGAGTGATTTATCTATCATCAGATAAAATGATGGTTGGCTCTTTGCCCAGAAGTGTAGAATGTTTTCTAAGCCGGGAAATGCTCACGAGGAAGGAAGGTTGTCTTTTCTGCATTTCTGTAAAAAATCAGTTGGAGAAGGGGAAATATGTTTTGGAGAATGGATGAGACTACACACCTTGTGCCATTTGAAAGCAGACATAGACAAAGTGCAGTCTTTTGTTTGCTGGATTGGAATTCCTAGCATTTTTCCTCATTGGCTGTACTACCTTGGGCTATTGGGATTTGTAGTTCAGCAACATCCAGAGGGTCACGTAATACTGTCCCTGGTCTAGATCAGTGAGGACTGGCCTGAGTTGCAGGGTCTGTTCCAATATGAAGTAAAAGGAAACGGGGTACTAAAAGGGACAGTGTTTCTAGATGGTGTTTAATACTCCTCATCCAGGTGATATAGGCCTCATTCCAGAGCTAGTAAAGTGTAACAACAGTTATTAAGTTGGAGAATGTAATAACGTTTTTTTCACTTTACCAGCACTGGGACTATAGTATCATCTTATATACAGGGTGAGGCAGCATAACTTCCTTTTTTCAAAACTTAATAAAACCCATTGTATGAATAAGAATATTTTAATTTTTTTATAATGTAGGCGCATACCTAAAGTTTTTTTTTACGTAGTTTTGAAGATCAAATTAGGTAGGTGACGTCCCCCATTCTCCATACACTGAGTAAACCGATTTCTGGTGTTTGTCATGACTCTTGCCAGCATAGCAGGCGTTATGTTGGCAATTTCTTCCTGGATGTTGGTCTTCAAATCTTGTAGGGTCCTTGGACGGTTCACATAAACACGGGATTTCAAAAAAACCCCATAGAAAAAAATCACAAGGGGCCAAATCTGGAGAGCGGGCCAGCCACTCCAAATCTGCTGGAAAAGTAGGTCTCAATGGCAAAAGCACGCTCCTCACTGTTCCAACACATGGTGGCGACTGAACTATGTCAGGACAAAACTTTATACTTCCGCCTCTCGAATGAGACCACAAGCGCTCCGCTACGCCTTCAACCGACTGAATGGCGCACATTTTTAAAAAGGAAGTTATGCTGCCTCACCCTGTACTTTGGGCTATTGGGATTTCTAGTTCAGCAACATCCAGAGGGTCACGTAATACTGTCCCTGGTCTAGATCAGTGAGGACTGACCTGAGTTGCAGGAAGTCTGTTCCAATATGAAGTAAAAGGAAACAGGGTACTAAAAGGGACAGTGTTTCTAGATTGTGTTCAGTACCCCTCATCCAGGTGATATAGGCCTCATTCCAGAGCTAGTAAAGTGTAACTACAATTATTAAGTTGGAGAATGTAATAACATTTTTTTCACTTTACCAGCACTGGGACTGTATAGTCATCTTATATAGTACTGATTGTGCCTGCTCGTATTCTCTGTTTTATAGACCGCCATTCCTTGCCTTGGAGAAAAGGCACTTCTAAAGGCTTGAATGTTCCAAGGATATTGGTGTCAAAACATACTACTCCTTAAGCTAAAGACTACCTTGTGTGATTTTTGCAGTGTGATAAGGGCTAACTTTGAATACATAGTGTCACAACACTGGCTTTCAATTGGTTATCTCTCTTGGACTTTGCTAGTTTGGTTCAAATTGATTTTGAGTCCCCATGTTAAATCTATTGCCATCTTTTGGGAAGTATTTTCTGCGAGAAGGGCTGCACAAAGAAACTCTTTGCACTTCCAAAACCTTCCATTCTCAAGACCCAAAGCTAATGGTTCAGTACAAGATTCCTATCTGTGTTCTCATTCTCTATCTTCCCAGGATACTTCTGATGCCAGACTGCAGACTTTGACCCGTCTTCTAACATTGTGGCTGAGGGTTTTGGTTCTCTTTTCATCTCTGCCAAGACACTCTGAGGTGTGCTGTGATGACAACTTCAGTGACTAAGACTTTTGGCCTGAGCTTGTTTGTGCTTATATCTTTACTTACTTTGTTGCAGTTTCTGTATAGAATTCGTGCGATAAACGTGAACATTTCTTTTCACTGCCTTTTACCCTTTGTGTGCTTATTGGTGTAGGCTTATTTTGCCCCCAGATGTAATAGTGCAGGGGTCCTCAAACTACGGCCTGCGGTCCACTTCCGACCTGCCAAGGGCACTTACCTGGCCCGCGGAGGAGGAGCGCGCCCCCCCCCACGCAGTGGCCCTCCCTTGGCTGGCTCACGCTATCCGTCAGACCTGATGGGCAGCGTGAGCCAGCCAAGGGCAGCTGCTCCGCGTGGCCTACTATCGCATAAAGCACCTCGTAGGCCGCGCGGTGCTGCTCCTCCCTTGGCTGGCTCACACTGCCCATTGACCCGATGGGCAGCGGGAGCCAGCCAAGGGAGGCTGCCCCAGTGCTCCATGCAGTCATGCCGGCCACATGACCTTGGAGGTGTCTACGGACAACGCCGGCTCTTTGACTTAGAAATGCAGATGAGCACCACACCCCAGAGTCAGACACGACTGGACTTCATGTCAGAGGAAAACCTTTAACTAGGAAAATTGTGGAAGATCCAGGGTGGGAGAAAGAACTCTTGTCTGTTGGAGGTAGGTATGAATGTTTCAATTGGCCACCTTGATTACCATTTCATAGCCTGACAGTTTTTAGGGAGAATCCTTTGTTGAGAGGTGATTAGCTGGCCCTGATTGTTTCTTGTCTGGAGTTCCCCTGTGTTTGAGTTTTTTTTTAATACTGGTAGCCAGATTTTGTTCAGACTAGAAATAGGAAGATTTCCCATTCTCTGCTCCTGGAATTACTGCCTAAAGAGGGCTAGAAAGAACCCCCTCTAAGGGCCCTTCCACACAGCAAAATAAGATATGTGAAATGTGCATAGGATTTTTTTAATTGATTTTTTTTAAAAAAAACCTATAGTCTGGCCCTCAAACGGTCTGAAGGACAGTGAACTGGCCCCCAGTTTAAAAAGTTTGAGGACCCCTGTAATAGTGATACCTCGCCTCACGAGCAAGCAGCTTATGAGTAGGTGGTTTATTAAGATTGAAACAACATGAATACAATTACAGAGACTGAAAAAAGTCAGTCACCTTGTGTCCAATAGATGGAGGTAGTTGTTAGAAGGCTATTGTGAGCAGTACGTAAGATGAACTGGAAATATCCAACCCAAATTATAACATGCTATTTTAAGTTTTGTGTCCCTGCAGACTTGCATAATACCCTCACGTCCTACAGTCCTAGTCTCAATATTCTCAAAATACATACTTCAAACAGCCTCTTAATTTTTTTCAAATTCAGATTTCAGTGAATGTCTGTTCCATAGCAAGAAAAGTGAGGTGGACAACATTATCGCGTTGTTTTGTTCTTGTTCATTTGCTTAAATGCCCTCTTGCATGTTAGCACTCACTTTGGATTAAGCTCTGACAGTCATCCTCTATCATGCATGGTAAGTTATTATCATCCAGTGTAATTGATGTTCCATTTCTTAATGTTGACACAGAGATCCACCCTCAGGTGAGGTGGCCTCTTGCATTTGTGGCTGAGAACCTGCCTCCTGCCCTCTGGAGTCACTGATGCGAGCAAAGGCCGCCTTTGATTATTCTCAGACCCAAGAGGCAGCAGAAAGATGTTATTCAATCATTAGGATGTACACGACATTGGGAAACAAAACAGAATTAAATTTGAAGTCACTTCCGAGTGCATTACCCTCTCCCTGTATGAGTGCATAGAATCATTATGGAAGTAATTGCAAAGCTACTCCTAATTCCTTATGATTTAATCAAACATAATTCTTCAAACAATGTGAAAATTGCCTTTTGTATTGTATCTTAAAAGAGAAGACCCAGGGGAATGGGCTGTTTTTGAGGGGAAGAATCAGGACTTAAAAGCCAAGAGTCACATAGCAGAAGAACAGTACCTCCACTGTGGTCTTCCAAAGGTGGGTAGCAAGTTAAACATGCAGCAGGTAAAAGTATTACCGTATATTCCGGCATATAAGACAACCCCCAACTTTTCCAGTTAAAATATAGAGTTTAGGATATACTCGCCGTATAAGACTTCCCCTCTTCCAGCACACACCAGATAAAAAAAATTAAAGCATCAGATTTTATTTCAATATGGTAATTTTCCTATTACTGTACTTCCTTCTCTGCCTCTCAGATCTCGCACATTCACACCTGCGCCACTTCACTGCAGTCTTCAGGAGCAAGATCTGAGAGGCAGAGGAGGAGGTACGGTAATAGGATACAAGGGCGAGCCAGACAGGTAAAAGAGGTGTGTTTTTCTGGACCCAGAGCCACTCTATCTCTTTTTTCCATACCCCGGGCGTCCCGGATGCCTGCAGCTTGCTCCGCCCTTCACTTACACCTTCCCGGTGAGGCGCCCCTTCACCTCCCCATCAAGACCACATTAAGTCCACGAATCCTGATGAATGGATTTTCTTCTACCGTACTTGTACAGCGTCGCCCTTAATGCTTTCATACAGTCGCTGCATACGGCAGGGATGCAGCCACGGCCATTTTTTAGCTCCCCCCACCATATGTGGCAACCGCAGATTCTCCAATCCGGATTGGAAGTTTCTGCACCCGCTCTATAAGATAACTCCCGGTGTATAAGACTACTCCCGCATATAAGAAAACTCCCATGCATAAGGCTACTCCAGTGTATAAGACTCCCATGTATAAGACTACTCCTGCGTATAAGACGACCCCTGACTTTTGAGAAGATTTTATTGGGTTAAAAAGTAGTCTTATACGCCAGAATATATGATACTTATGGTTTTCTGTCACTAGTACAGATAGTATGTAGAATCAAAACAACTACTAAAATACTCCCCAGACATCTTTCGGGTAATGAATGTAATATGTGTAAAATTCCACACCTCTTCAAAACCACTTTTCAGCTACACTTAACCATAAACTGGGTGAAAGAACGCTTTTATCCCCTTGTCATAGGTTGTTGCAACATTCACAGAGAACTACCATATATACTCTGCATAAGTTGAGGACAGATTTGGGGGCCAAAAATGGATTTTGATGTGACCCACGGATAAGTTGAATGTCATTCCATGCAGTGACACTTCAGAGAGCCAGCTATCCCTACCCACTGCCATTTCCCACTCGGGCATGAAAAAGGTCAGAAGTGGCGCCACAGGACCTTGTGGAGGAGGTTAGTGATTCTTATAGGGTTTTCCTGAATGGATGAAGTTCTTGGTTTTTGCCACCTTACTCAAGAGAAGAGGATGGTTACCTTTTTTTGCTAACAGTAAACTACATTTTGGGGGGTTATTCTTTACTACAATATCTAGACTTATACAGTATATAGGGTATACCTGTAACAAAGGTATACACATGAAATGTTTACCTAAAGAACTATATATGTTTTTAAATCTACCTGTATAAACATTAAAATATATTTAAAATAGCACACCACACCATAACATCATACATAAATAGGAATAGCATTCATAATATTAAGGGCATACTAAAAGTGGAAATTCTCAGTATTTAATATTTAAGAAAAAAATATCTCAGGAAATGTTTGTGTTTTTCCCAAAACAGCTCAAAGCAGGGAGCCATTGCTTTAGTTAGAGATGGATCAGGTGGTTGGCCTCAATGGCTCATTCGAACTTGAATTTTATGGGGGGGGGGGTAATTCATAAATATTGCAATGACAAAACATGAATGTGGTCCAAACACCAAATTTTGAAATGTGAGTTAGACATTTAAGACTTCTCCCTACAACTCTACTTTAAAAACACTGCATACATTCGATGAAAATGTTAGGTCTGCATGGACACAAGGACTTCTGTTAAAATATTTTATTAAACCTATTCAATACATTAAAAACAGTCTTGATAATATATAGAAGCTTGCAAAATCATATTCTAGAAAGTGCCTCTGGTTTTTGAGTGCTGGAAAATGAAGTCATGGCATTTTTCTTGTGCAAAGTCTGAACTTCTAACTTTTATTTCATCCATAGTTTCAGTTATGTTCCAGCAAAAAAGGGGTTCACTGAAACCTGAGCTAGACAAAATAGTAGATAATTTCCTAAAATATATAGCATTTTAGGAATACGAGATTGGGCCAAATCCATAGTTTGCACTAAATTCTCATCCTGATAAGATACTCTTGACAAAAACTGTAAGGGACAGAGTGTCCCCATCTTTTTAAGCTGTCCTATACTGCCTTGCTTTTATTTACGCATCCTGCCTCTGATCTCAGCATATATAATTTGCTTCTTTCCAATCCACATTTGATTCTCTCAACAGTCTTGTGAGGTAGGCTAGGTCAGACAGTCACAGTCACCCAGTGAGTTTCATGGTAGTCTCAAGCCTAGATCTTCTAACTTCTTAACTGTCCTGAAAGATGCTTGGTAAAGATGTTTCCCATTTTCTTCCTTTGGAGCACTGCAATGATATCGCCTCTTAGTATGGCATGTGTATGGCTGACATCCAAAACAAGCATTTACAAGTCTTCTCTGCTGCCCGTTGTCAGCAATCTATCACAGGGGTCCTCAAACTTTTTAAACAGAGGCCCAGGTCACAGTCCCTCAAACTGTTGGAGGGCCGGATTATAATTTGAAAAAAGCATGAATGAATTCCTATGCACACTGCACATATCTTATTTGTAGTGCAAAAAACACTTAAAAACAATACAATAATTAAAATGAAGAACAATTTAAACAAATATAAACTTATTAGTATTTCAGTGGGAAGTGTGGGCCTGCTTTTGGCTGATGAGATAGGATTGTTGTTATTGTGTGCTTTCAAGTCGTTTCAGACTTGGGTTAACTCTGAGCGAGGGCCGGGTAAATGGCTTTGGAGGGCCGTATCCGGCCCCGGGCCATAGTTTGAGGACCCCTGATCTGTCATATATGACATTATGTTGCCTGGAGATCTTCCCAGGTAAGGACCTAATGTTGACTTTGTATTTGCTGATATTACCAAAGATGAATCAGTGTGGTGCAGTAATCTGAGTGTTAACTGAGAGCTCCAAGGGGGTTGAGTATTTGATTCCCCACTCAAGTCATGGAAACCCACTGGGTGATGTTTGGCAAGTCAGCCTCAGAGGAAGGCAATGGCAAAATCTCTGAACAAATTGTGCTGAGAAACTCTGTGATGAATTAATTCACCATATGGGTATATGTGGCTGTGGTAAATAAAGTGAAATGACAGCACTGACTGTGCTACATAAAAATAAGGGTCCTGTGTATAAAAAAGAACATTGCTGTGACTTCGAAAGTTGTCCAGAAGAAGGAGGATTTTTGTTTGTTTTTTTAAGTGAAAACGGGGAATTTTTTTCAGTGAAAGGCAAAAAGGATGGCAAGAGCAGCAGTTGGAATTAGTGTGAGTGATAACCCTTCTTGAAGCCTGCTAGACAACACCAACTGGACAATTATTTGGGGTAATCAAAATAAAAAAAGAGTAAGAAGGGATCAGGGGAAGGGGGGTACCCATCATGTTATTGAAGCCACATCAGATGTTCATCTAAAGCCATTTTGCAAGAGCTCTGGTTTTCCTGTCTTCCTATATTTCAAACGTAAAATATTCTTCTGGTCTTGGTCTCCAAGAGACCACACCCACACTGTTTTTTAAAGTGCATGTTTAAAAAAAAACAAAAGTATTGAAAGGTTATGGATATCAAGTCTATAATACATCCTTTCAATTTAACCAAGGGGGAAACTATCTGAAACAGCGCTATTTTATTCTTAAGGACTGAAACTACGCATAGTCCTTATTAGAGAAAATTTCTGAAGTAGTATTGTTATGAACCCAAAGAGGTTCATAGAACAAAGAACAGGAACCTCTTTGGGTTCATAACAGTATAATGCATAAAATTTCAAAAATTACAACATATAGTTCCTACCAGAGGGATGGGATGGAGGATATACATATATACCCCTTTGAGTACTCAGATATTTTCATGATTTATCAATATATGTGATACATTCTATAAATAATCACAAATACCCAAGAGGGAAAAAGAATCCTACAAATGAGACAATGGTTAATATGAGTGCTGGCACATTCTTTGGGATTACTATCCTACAATTTGCTCTAAAAAGGCAAAACAAGAAAACAAACAGGCACCATCAGAACTACTGGATAATTTAATTCTGCTCTAGCCAAAGTGTGGTGCAGGTTTTTTTGGATTAAGTGTACAACTTGTGATACAAATCTGCATTTTTGCTAAGCAAGGTTTTCTAGCTGACTGCCAGGACAGCAATCTTTGGACTGATTTAAATCGTGTGCCATAGCTGAGAAGTACTGATGCTTCCATTTCTTAAAGATGCACAACCAATTTCACATTCTGAAAGTACGCACAGCCAATTCCGCATCCTATCAAAGCATGTGCCATTCCAGCCCGATCCCAAACCTACATTGTCCCATATGGGCCAGCTCAGGCCTCAGTTCAATCTGTAGCATGCATCCTTTGCCTCGTAGGCACCTCCCAGCACATTTTTACCACGTTCACCCACCAAAAGCTTTCAATCCTCTGTTTCTTCTCACAGCTCCTTCTGAAATGTCCAGTTCCCATTCTCTGGACCTGCTGAAGGAGTAAGACATCCTACTAATCCTTCCGTTAGCTGCTCCTTGTAAGAGCTAAGTGACAGTCACACAAAACAAGGCACAGCGTCTCCACCCTGAATGTCTTCTGCAGACCTTTGCAGGGAAATGAGGATGGCTCAAAGCCTCTTTCCTGAGGCAAAATGTATCCAGAAATGGCATTCTAGAAATCATTATATATGGCTTGGCTTTTGTATCCACATTAAAGCACCAAAGGCACAGTTCTCTGGCACTAAGGTGACCAGGAGCCTACAAGCAAAAGTTGATGTTGCGCTCCTGTCCCAAGCCCGATTCTTTTCCCATGTTGCCCAGATGCACACGCCTGCTTCAATAACTGGTGGTATTCAGAACGAGCACAATAGCTCATCTATTCTGGCATGGGGCGAGTTAGACTTGGATTGTTGTTCACATCTTCTTACATCTGACGTGCACAAAAAGTGTGGCTGGGGACAGAGACGTGCCATCCTTGGAGAGTAGATGTATATGGCGGTAGCCTGAAAAGAAAATCGCAGAGGAAAATCGTATTGGTCAGCAGGTCTTCCCAAAATCCCTTCTTTTATATATCACAATGAGCTCTTTGCTGCCGTCCTGCTACAAAACCTCTGAAGTGGATTAGCAGAAATCGTAAAAATGTAAGAAAGCTTTTTTTTTTCAATCCAGTTTTAAAGAGGGGCTTAAGCTACATTTCTGCAGTGGACAAGTAAAAAAAGCATATTTTAGCTTGAATCTCATTGTCCTTCTTGCCTTTTATAATGTGAAAGAGAGTTAGAGTTGGTTAAAGTAGCCCAGGGGGAAGGATTTGGTTTCCAGGCCTGAATCTAAATCCATGGGGTTGCTCAAAGTGACATTCCCAAGGAGTGTATATATTGTTCAGGGTGTGGAGCTGGTACAGTCAATTTTATCCCAGTCTCACACAATTTGGTGAACACTTAAAAGTTGAGATATGCCAAGTTAGTGATCGTTTACCAATCTCTCTGGAATTTAGTGTGATGAACCAGGTAATTCACTTTCCAGAGAACTTCAATACTGATATCATATCTGACTTTGGACAGAAAAGAATCACATGATTTGGTAAATGAACAAAGTTCAGCTTTTCTGAGCCATGACCAAGGCAAACCAAGAATGGGCAACTTGGAACAGACTCAGAAATGGAATGGGCAGATCAAAAGACAACCTGGCAAAATAGCACTACCTAAAAGAATCCCACACCTTATGTGACTGTGAAGCAGAAGAGACAACTCCACATCTATATGCTTGCCCACTATGCCCTGCCTTATGTACAGCGGAATAATTATTGGAGGCTACAGACAATGCCATTGCTGTTGCCCGTTTTTGGTCAAAAGATATTTAGCCACCTGCGCTCCTTCTATTTTTATTGGTTTTATACTAATTTATGCAATACTTTTGATACAAATAAATAAAAAAACCAAGTCCCCCTATTTTCCAGCAAACCTATCTCAGCTAAATTATGCATTCAGTTCTTTTAAGAGGTATCTCTTGAAATCAAATAGTAGTTGTTAGATGTTTCTACCATTGATTGCCACCCCCTGAAAGATGCAACTCAAAGTCTTGGTTCAATACAAGCACAAGACGGCATTTCAAATCCCACCCTGATCTAAGAGATTCACATGTGTCGATTACTTTTGTGGCTTCAATGAGATGGAGCAACATCCTGTCCAGATCCTTTTCTGCAGTGCAGTGCATTGCTTTCGATGGCCACTCTTCATTATGCATACAATTTGGGGAACCCTAGATAGTATATTGTGTGAGGATGGGGGCAGTTGAATGGGAGCAAACTAGTTGACACAAGCAATCCCTTCAAGTTATTTGACAAATGCATTGTGATATCAGTCTAAAGTCTACATGAGGCAAACCAGTGCACACATAAAAGAAGCCCTGGGGGCCCAGAGATAAAAGATTTGGAAATTCTCTGCTGCAGAGATAGCGGATGACCTAGTCAACATGGATGGACGCTGCAGGCAGTTCCTGTGCTCCCCTGGTTCAAGAGGAGAGAGACTCACCTTCCCTTAGGCTGAGCAGTGGCAGAGTAAACTGTCCCACAAAGTCATTGGCGGAAGTTGTGTCATAATCCTCGACTACAAATCGTACCAGCGCCAGCTCTGGAATTCGTACTTGGAATGTTAGTGTCTCATTCCAACGTGGATTGAATCCTGTAACAAGGCAAATGCAAGAAGTAGAAATGTAAGAGGAAATTACTATAGAGAAGACTTTATTGGCTGGAAGTCTATTGTAAAAAGAATAAAAGCTTCAAAACTCCAAGATTCTCAGAAAGCTGAGCTTGCACACTCAGGTCTATGGTATCATTTCTTTCTGAACTACATGGCCCAACTATAACTTTACAAAGTTCAGAATGCAGAACTTGGCATGCATTTGCAAATATCCAGTGCAAAGTCTTACAACCAAAAATCTTTTATTCATTTTGCACTAATTCTAGAGTAGTTTTTGGAATCTCAAGCAAAAATGTTCCTAGCTCTACCCTTTTATCTGGGAGAAGTCAGAAATTGTCCCTAAGACTTTGCATACGTGAAGTCTGAATCTGCTCAATGGAATTAACACTGAACTGGTTTTTAATTTTAAATATGTATGACTCTTTTATAGTATTATGTCTTTGTTTATAATGTTTACTTGCATATTTTTATGTCTGTAATTGCAATGTTTTATCTTTGCTGGAAAACACCTTGAGTCCCCTTGGGGAGACAGAGCGGTATACAAATAAATTATTATTTATTTATTTATTTATTTATTTTACTGACACAAAAACAAAATGAGATCTATATGCTGGATTTCATATCACAAAATCACAAGTCAAACACTTCCCAAGTGTCTAGGACTGTGTGATGTATTTTCAAATGTTGCGCAAATCCAAGTAAGGTGGCCTTTTGCAGTTGACAGATTGTGATTTGTTCAATGTTTATTGTTTCTAAATGCCAGCTGAGATCTTTTGGCACGGCACCCAGTGTGCCAATGACCACTGGGACCACCTGTACCTGTACTGATTTATGTCAGAGCCTTTGTAGTTGTTGTTGTTGTTGTTGTTATTTCATGGCACTACTATAAAGGCAGGAAACCTTTACTCCTCCAGATGTTATTGGACTAAACTGTCCACCACTCCAGACCAATTGTCATACTGTCTGGAGCTGATGGAAGTCAGAGTTCAACAACATCTGGAGGGCCTGTACAACAGCCTCTTTTTATTTCCTCCATGCCTAAATTATGCTTTACCGTTGTTTAACTGGTACTCAGTTTGCTTCTTGCAACAATCAGCCGGAACTCCATGGATTTCAATGCGCACAAAGGGATCCACAATTGAAGAGTTCTTCTCTTTGTTCAGTTTGGGTAGCTGTTGAGCAGTGATCACCTGACAAGGAGGGGGCAAACAAAGAGTTTAGAGAGCCCCCTTTCTCCCAATATGTTTGAGATTAAAAACGCTTGCTTTTATTGCTGTAGCATCCCACAACCCATTGAAACTAGGAAGAAACAAAAGAAAATGCATTTATATATCAGCTTCCCATGTTAAAATACACCATATTCAACATTAACCTGCTCCATATGAACTATGACCACTTGTGAATGTGGCCCAATGAAAACAAATGCAGAACTCCTATGGCAGATATTAAAATTACATTTTCTCTTTGATCCAACTATGAACAGAAAAATGCACAGAAACCCTGACATTTGGGGACTGATGGAAAAATGTATTTTGGGAGATCAGAAATCTGGCATGGGGAGCAATGCCCTCATGTTGATATGCTTTCCCCTATTATTTACACGCCTATCAGCATCGCCAATGACCAGGCAGGCTAGGAGTAGCAGACTAGAGGGCCATACTTTATCCACAGACACAAATAAATCATTAAAAAAAGGCATACTGCCTTCTGAACACAGACAGTCTACAAGTCCCTATACCTTGATGGTGAGGGCAACAGGGCGCTGGCCAGCTCTACGACCAGGAGCCTCAGGATCAAAGGAACTTTGGGTGTTGCGTAGAAAAGCAGGCTTTAGCACATAGCCACAATTGCCATTAACGGAAAAGCGCCCATCGTTTAAGTCCATCTCTACGCCTGGTGTCTGGAAATTAAGTGCCACTAAAGGATAGGAAAAAGAAGAGAGTACACAGGTTATATATAGGGCAGAAAAACATGGATTCTGTGATGGTGTAATTGTATATACAATTGCATATGTACTATTGGGATACAAAATTGAGGTTTGAGCAGTCCTTCGTAATGAAAGGTAAGAGGAAAGGGATGGAAAAGTTGAGCCCAATAGCCAGGCACTAATATGTCTGTCCTGCTGAGATACTGGATAAATCTAAACTCATAACTGAACAGTTGACAAACAAAGTATGGGTTTGTTCTAAGCTGCACCAATCAGGATTTTGTCTACAGCAGCAGTTGAGATGTAATGACTGGGCAAGAGTTGAAGTGATCCATCAAGAGTCTTTCCCTCTGTTTGCATAGCCTGTCCAGCAGTCACCAGTGTTTTAATTGTGGCGGAATGAAAATCATGTGGGGTTCACATTTTACCAGTTCACACACTGTCTTGCCAGAGAAAGAAAATATGCCACACAGATGATTAGTAAAGAACAAGGAGCTTACTCTTCGTAATGCAGAGCAACATATATACAATCATGTGAACAGTTGCATTGACTCACACAATGGCCTTTGAGAGAGATTCAAATGGTCTTTATGTGTCCATGTGGAAGATGTTGTCACATCCCGAATAGATCACTGCAACGTGCTCTATGTGGGGCTGCCTTTGAAGACTGTTCAGAAGTTTCAAATGGTCCAAAGGACGGCAGCCAGGTTAATAACAGGAGCGACGCTCGGGGAACACACTATTCCTCTGTTGTGTCAGCTCCACTGGCTGCCAATTTGCGGCTGAGTGAGCCACACAGTCTGACCTGCCTCCGCCCTTGTCCAGGCTGTTCTCCCCATACAGACAGGTAGGCAGCCAATGTAGGCTGTCCTCCTTTAATTGCTTACCAAGCTGACAGCCCGCATTCCACATTTCCTGAGGGTTGTAGTTGGAAGAGTTCACCTTCAGGCCCTGCGGATAGATGCGGCTGAGGTGCCGAGTATTGTACCGGACAAACTGATTTCCTATAACAAAGGGAAAGGGAGGTTATAGTTCCTACAGAAAAGGTAGCAAAAGAGGTACATGGTGATGCTTGTGGTCTCACTGTACCTAGCCTTCAAATGGGCCTTCGAACAACAACTGGAGGCTCTTCTCTTCTCCAGTCCTGATCTAAAGCTGAAGCCAGAAAAAGCAGTAAATCCCCCATCAGTAAATCTGTGTTCCATCAGACACACAGAATATAAAAATGTACCAAATTCCAGGTGCAAGTAGCCTCTTTTCTTTTTCATACAAAATTTTGCTTTGATGTCACCACTCAGGTAACTGCATCCACATTCTACTCTGTGTACTTCAATGAACTGTGCTGGTCCCACATGTGCACCTTGGCTTACATTGTGATTATCTGACTGTGACCGTTACGCATTGACCAAAAAAGCACTCTATATATGTAGCACTACTTGGCCTATGTATGTCAGCCATTATACAAATACCATGCTGGCTGAAAGGTCCTATGAGTTCTCTTCCGGCAAAAATCTATGAGGGTTGAATGAAAAGTAATGCCTCCACCTTCATAACTCCTCAACAGATGGAAGTACTGGTATGCGGCAGGTACTGGCTTGTTCAGTAGACTCTCCTCTACAGTTCTATTTTGGCAGGAAGCCTTAGCGTTGAATGGTTGTGTTGTTAAAGTACAAAGGATGGAAACCTGCGCAGACAGTTGGTCAATGCGACTTAAGCAATGTGCAGTCATTGAATTCTTGACAGCAGAAGGTGTCACCCCAAAGGAGATTCATCAGAGAATGCAAGCTGTTTATGGTGATTGTGTTGATGTGAGTACTGTGCATCGCTGGGCGAGTAAGTTTAAAGATGTTGAGGTGGGAACATCTGACTTGCATGACAAAGACTTGGACATCCTGTGACAGCAACCACCGAGTTTCACAAGCAACAGGTTGACAGATTGATTCAGGACAATCGTTGTATCACTCAGAGAGAAATTACAATCATAATCAGCATTTCACAAGAACGTGCAGGTGACATTATTGCTTTGCTTAGTTATCAGAAGATCTGTGCACGATGGGTACACAGAAGAACTTCAGAGACGATCTCACCACGGTACGGCATCTTCCATACAGTCCAGATTTAGCATCGTCTGATTCCATCTGTTCCCGATAATGAAATAAGATCTATGGGTACATCATTATGCTTCTGATGAAGAGGTGGAGAGAACGGTGAAACCCTGGTTGCAGAAACAAAGTGTCAACTTCTTCCATGACGGCTTCAGAAAACTTGTTTATCGTTGGTAGAAATGTATCCAATTGTCTGGTGATTATGTGGAAAAGTGAATAGTGGTAGTTAAAGAGCACATTCTAAGGATTATTTCTATGTTTGAGTTATTAAAATATTATCATCCAAACCCATGTAATGAAGGTGGAGGCATTACTTTTCATTGAACCCTCTTAAGTTTCCCAACTCTTTTCATAGGGCAGGTTTCTTCAGAAACCTTCTGGTGACATTTCCTTTGCTACACATACCTTTATTACATTAGACTCAGATTTGTCATTTGCTCACCAACATGTTCATAATGATTTTTTTCATGATCTGTATAGCCCAAACATACCCGATTCCTTGATCAGTTTCCTTGCTTTCCGCTCACTGAAAGATGACATCTCATTAGATTGCTGGTTCTGCAGGGCACGAGACAAGCTTTGAAAGGGGACAGCCTGGCAGTAAACAACCACATCTGACAGCTCCCGTGAAATCTGTATAGCATCTTTTGCCTGGACACAGAGGACAAGAAAGGTGTGCCATAAGGATGTCTTGCGTCTTGTGTACAAATTACTACAAGGAAATTGAGACTGAGAAACTTGTGGGACACCTCTGGAACTACGAATCATACGAATCAGTCAACAGCCAATTCAAGTGAAAAGAAACCACCCCACTTAGCCCTATTGAGATGAGTTATAGATGAGAAAGAGCCCCATCTGCCTGACCACAATCTCTTTTACACTGTTGCAACCAATCACACACACACACACACACACACACACACACACACACACACAGGGAGAATTACTGACCTGTAATGGCTTGATCTCTTGAAGAGAAGATATAGACTGGAAATTGAGAACAGAAAGAGAAAAAAAGAATGATTTTCCTATGGAAAATACCAAGCATCTAGACCATGATATATTTTCAAACAGCATATCTAAAAGCATAAGAACAGTCCTGTTCTATTTCACTATTTTGACCAGAATCCAATTTCCCACAATAGCCAAGCACATCTGTCAGACATAGGACATGATTGCAGCAGCCCTTTCCTTGTACCTCTCCAATACTGGGTATCTGCTGAAATAGCACCATTCAATCTAAAGGCCATTTACGTTATTGTGGCTAAGGGCCACTTATACATCTATCCTCCTAAAATATGACAAATGCTCCATTAAAACCTTCTGACCTTTTATGTCTCTTCATGACCTGTAGTATCTAGTTTCATAAATAAATTAAAGTACTGTTTCACAAATATGTAACTTTGTCTATTTACTAATCAGCATACTACAACAACTAATCCTTCAAGTTGAGATAGAGTGGGGTAGAAAAACAGTGGAGAAAAAAGTATTTCATCAGATACCAATTGTACAAGTTCTCCCACTTAAAAAGATGAGAGAGGCCTGTAATTGACATCATAGGTAGACCTCAACAACATGAGAAAACACATCCAGAAAATCACATTGTCTGATTTTTAATGAATTTGTTTGCAAATTATGGTGGAAAATAAGTATTTGGTCCATAACAAAAGTTCATCTCAATACTTTTTATATATCCTTTACTGGCAATGACAGAGGTAAGTCCTCACAAGGTTGGCACACACTGTTCCATTCCTCTATGCAGATCTCCTCAAGAGCAGTGATGTTTTGAGGCTGTCGCTGAGCAATACGGGCGTTCAACTCCCTCCAAAGGTTTTCTATAGGATTGAGATCTGGAGACTGGCTAGGCCACTCCAGGATCTTGAAATGCTTCTTACGAAGCCACTCCTTCGCGGTGTGCTTGGTATCATTGTCATGCTGAAAGACCCAGTCAGGCTTCATCTTCAGTGCCCTTGCTGATGGAAAGAGGTTTGCACTCAAAATCTCACAATACATGGCCTCATTCATTCTTTCATGTATACAGATTAGTCACCCTGGTCCCTTTGCAAAGAAACAGCCCCAAAGCATGATGTTTTCACCTCCATGCTTCACAGTAGGGCTGGTGTTCTTTGGATGCAACTCAGCATTCTTTCTCCTCCAAACACAACGAGTTGTGTTTCTGCCAAACAGTTCTACTTTGGTTTCATCTGACCATGTGACATTCTCCCAATACTCTTCTGGATCATCCAAATGCTCTCTAGCAAACTTCAGTCAGCCCCAGACATGTAATGGCTTATGCAGGAGGACACATCTGACACTGCAGAGTATGGTGGTGTAGTGTGTTCCTGATGGTAGCCTTTGTTACGTTGGTCCTAGGTCTCTACAGGTCATTCACTAGGTTCCCCTGTGTGGTTCTGAGATTTTTGCTCACTGTTCTCGTGATCATTTTGACCCCACGGGTGAGATCTTGTGTGGAGCCCCAGATTGAAGGAGATTATCAGTGCTCTTGTATCTCTCCCATTTTCTAATTATTGCTCCCACAGTTGATTTTTTTCAGACCAAGATGCTTGTCTATTGCAGATTCAGGTTATGAACAGTTGTCTTTTCTACTGAGAACAAGTTCAAATAGGTGCCATTACTACAGGTAATGAATATAGGACAAAGGAGCCTCTTAAAGAAGAAGTCATAGGTCTGTGAGACCCAGAAATCTTGCTTGTTTGCAGGTAACCAAAAACTTATTTTCCACTATAATTTGCAAATAAATTCGTTAAAAATCAGACAATGTGATTTTCTGGATGTGTTTTCTCATGTTGTCTCTCATAGTTGATGTCTACCTATGATGTCAATTACAGGCCTCTATCATCTTTTTAAGTGGGAGAACTTGTACAATTGGTATCTGACTAATTTTTTTCCCACTGTATAAATAAATATCTGCATTTTTTGCTTCTAAATTGTTTTAGTTGTCATGGTTTTCACCACCAACAACCTTTGAAAAATCCTGTGAAAGACAGCTCAGTAAAAGTCTGAGAATTTTTGGAGCAATCCACATCCCCCATCCCTAAACATAACTACAGTTTCCATGTTCTATGAAGAGAGGGAACTCAAGAAAGTAAATTCCTGGTTCTCATGGGCTACTATTCAGTGTTAAACACCCAGGCAGACAAACAAGCCAAACTAGCAAACAACAAAGAATCAGAGGCGTTCCAGAGCCTTCTCCAGGCTGTATATTCTATTGTTTAATATATAAAGCAAAAGTTTAATGTTTAAATACTCCTAATTATAGATAATAATTGGATGGACTCGCCCATAAATTACACCCTGAGGATTGGTTGAAGGAATGTTAAAGCATTTTGAAACAACTCATGTGTTTAGTGCCAGATGGCTCAAAAGAGATTGCTAGCTGTCCTGGAAAATATCTTAGTAAGTAACCATCCCTTCCTAATCCATTTTAATACAGTAAATGAAATGCACAAAAAGAATGCTTTAACCCGCTGAGTGACTCTTCCAGCTTTATAATCTGACCTCTCCATGCTATTTGTGCTCTATGGAACTGTGGCGCAGCTGGCTGGGAGTCAGCTGCATTAAGATCACTACTGACCAAAAGGTCATGAATTCGAAGCCAGCCCGGGTCGGAGTGAGCTTCCGACCAATTTGTGTAGCTTGTTGTCGACCTTTGGAGTCTGAAAGACAGTTGCATCTGTCAAGTAGGAAATTTAGGTACCACTTCTGCGGGGAGGCTAATTTACGACACCATAAAAATCTCCAGCAAGCATGCAAAGAATGAGGAAGTACTTCATCAGTGCCACAAATGGATAGTGAAGCAACAGCTCCCCGGTGGCCAGAATACCCTCATGAAAAAGCTGGAATGTTAAATAGCCTCTGTGTCTGTCTATATATGTTGTGTGTCTATGGCAGGTGTCCTCAAACTTTTTAAACAGAGGGCCAGGTCACAGTCCCTTAAACTGTTGGAGGGCCGGATTATAATTTGAAAAAACCATGAATGAATTCCTATGCACACTGCACATATCTTATTTGTAGTGCAAAAAATACTTAAAAGCAATACAATAATTAAAATGAAGACCAATTTTAACAAATATAAACTTATTAGTATTTCAATGGGAAGTGTGGACCTGCTTTTGGCTTATGAGATAGAATTGTTGTTGTTGTGTGCTTTCAAGCCATTTCAGACTTAGGTTGACCCTGAGCGAGGACCGGGTAAATGACCTTGGAGGGCTGTATTCGGCCCCCAGGCCTTAGTTTGAGGACCCCTGGTCTATGGCATTGAATGTTTGCCATGTATATGTACATTGTAATCCGCCCTGAGTCCCCTGTGGGGTGATAAGGGCGGAATATAAATACTGTAAGTAAGTAAGTAAGTAAGTAAGTAAGTAAAGTACTCCTACTCACTCTAAAAGGAAGTGTTTATAAGGAAAGCAGGCACTGAACCTTCAATTTTACTACACAGTTGTATGCCTCCAACACATAAATTTGGGAAATACTGATATAAAGTCTTGAAAGACAGAGTTAATAAGATGTTGGGGTCTACAAGTGGCTTCAGCTTTTAACAAAGGAATATGGCATCAAGAATATGGCATTCCATTCAACTCCCAATTGGAAGATATTCCTTTCCACTCCATTCCCATTCCACAAAAGCCACACCATTCCGTAACAGTTGCACATTAGGCATGTGCAATCCATGGTTCTAAATGGTTCTAAAGTACTTACAAAACTAAAGTTCTGGTGGTGAAAACTAAGGGGGCGCTGGTGCTTTGCTTTTACAGTGTTGCTACAGTTCTGGTGGTGAAACTTTCAGAACTCTAACACAACTTTCAAAATTTCATTATAAATAGAAGTTCCTCATAGGTTCTGTCATAAAAATAACCAATAATGAAAATTTGAAAGTTTTCTGAGAGTTCTGAAATTTTCACCAGCAGAACTTTAGCAACACTGTAGAAGCAAACCACCAGCGCCCCCTTGTTTTCACAACCAGAACTTTAGTTTTGTAAGTACTTTAGAACCATTTAGAACAGTGGTTCTCAACCTTCCTAATGTCGCGACCCGTTAGTACAGGTCATCATGTTGTGGTGACCCCTAACCATAATGTTATTTTCGTTGCTACTTCACAACTGTAATTGTGCTACTGTTATGAATCGTAACCTAAATTTCTGATATGCAGGATGTATTTTCAATCATTGGACCAAATTTGGCACAAATACCCAATATGCCCAAATTTTAATACTGGTGAGGTTGGGGGTTATTGATTTTGTCATTTGGTAATGCTGGAGTTGCTGGGATTTATAGTTCACCTAAAATCAAAGAGCCTTCTGAACTCCACCAATGATGGAATTGAATCAAACTGGGCACACAGAATTCCAATGACCAAGAGAAAATACTGGGAAGGTCTGGTGGACATTGACCTTTCGTTTTTTGGAGTTGTAGTTCACCTATACCCAGAGAACACTGTGGACTCAAGCAATGATGGATCTGGATCAAACTTGGCACAAATACTCAATATGCCCAAATGTGAACACTGGTAGAGTTTCGAGAAAATAGACCTTGCCATTTGGGAGTTGTAATTGTTGGGATTTATAGTTCACCCACAATGAAATAGCATTCTGAACCCCACCGATAGAATTGGACCAAACTTTCCACACAGAACCCCATGACCAACAGAAAATACTTTTGTCGAAGGCTTTCATGGCTGGAATCACTCAGTTCTTGTGGGTTTTTTCGGGCTATATGGCCATGTTCTAGAGGCATTTCTCCTGACGTTTCGCCTGCATCTATGGCAAGCATCCTCAGAGGTGAGGTCTGCTGGAACTGGGAAAAAGGGGTTTAACCCCTTTTCTGATGGTCTTTGGCGACCCCTCTGACACCCCCTCGCGACCCCCATGGGGGTCCCGACCTCCAAGGTGAGAAACACTGTTTTAGAACCATGGATTGCATGTGCCTATTGTACATGATCAATTGTTATTGGACTTTTTGGGGACGGAGAAGCCTCCTCAGTTTTTACCTAAACAGTTTTATGTTTAAGTTCAGGTTTCTAGGGGAGTGCAAATAATATTTTTTTCCCAGTTACCCTGTTTTGCCATGTTCATTTTAACATACTATTAAAAAGATAATGAGAATCTATCTTGGATGTTTTTCCCAGTCCTCTCCTGGGGTGCTTCCAGATGAGGCTTTTTATTGTGCAATCGTTGTGCCTCATCTGCAGAATTGGGAGGGAGGGGATTTCAAAACAATGCTATTTTCACAATATTTTCCTATGATTTCTTTCCTCTCTTTTTTTCCTTACCAAAAAAACAGTTGCATAATGTCTTTTGATTGGTGGCATTAGAAGCGCCCCAGTTTGGAAGCACCCCAGGCCATCCTCTCAAGAGGAGGGATAACAACTCAGCTGTGTCTCCTCACCCGATCATCTTCATCGTCCTGCATTTCTTCCTCAGGGTTGGAGATGAAGTTGCTTCTGTCAAGCTCGTTCTTTCCCTCTGGCAGCTTCTTCCCCTTCACCAATATCTTCCACTTTAACTGCTGTTGAAAAGAGAAACCAAGCAGCTCAGGTTATCAGGCAACTTCTTGGGAGGAATTTTAATAACTGAAATTTTGAAAATGGACTAGAATTGGCTCCAGAAGTCAGTGAGGATAGGAACTTTGCAAAATCCCTGGCTCAACACCTGAACACTATCGCAACTTGCAATTCAAAATTCAGGGAAGCCTCTTTGTGTGTGATAATAGTCATCATCATTGTCTTTATAACACACCTCGCCCTCCCCTAATTGGTACTAAAGTTGTCTTGCACATTAAAACAAATACAAAATAATTACAAAATAAAAAGATTGATTTAAAATAGAATGAAATCATTAACAACACCCTCTTTCTCTCCCTCCTTTTCTCCTTCCTTCTTTCTTTCCCCCTTTCTGTGTATGTGTTTTGTATGTACATATATGTGTGTATATATTTCTGTATATATTTGTGTATATGTATATATGTGTGTGTGTTTGTGTACATATGTGGTTTTGCGCATAGGTTTTAACTGGTTTGTAATTTTTCAGTGCTTTACCCATCCACTCATGATTTTTTTTAATTGCAGCATTTTAATTCCTTTTCTCTGTTCAGCTGTTAAAATGCTGATCCATATTTTAGTTTATGGTTGTTTGGCTGCCGATTGGTTTTTGGCTGCCGATTGGAAGCCACCCTGAGCGCCCCCCCCCCCCCAAGAGGTTGTGAAGGGCAGGGTACAAATATTTGAAATAAATAAATAATAAATAAATATATAAGACAAATCGGAGGTACAAATACTGCATTAAGACGTCTCCCAAGCGGCAGCCAGATTACTCACCGGAGCGTCATACAGGGAGCACACCACCCCCCTGCTGTGTCAGCTCCACTGGCTGCCGGTTCAGTTCCGAGCACAATTCAAGGTGCTCGTTTTGACCTACAAAACCCTATACAGTTCCGGTCCAACGTATCTGTCCGAACACATCTCCCTCTACGTCCCACCCCGGAGTTTGAGATCATCTGGGGAGACCCTGCTCTCAACCCCACCGCTATCACAAGTGAGGTTGGTGGGGTCGAGGAGTGTGGCCTTCTCAGTGGTGGCCTCTCACCTGTGGAACTCACTCCCGGGTGAAATTAGATCATCAACATCCCTCCTCTCCTTTAGGAGTTAATTAAAAACGTGGTTGTGGGACCAGGCCTTCGAGCAATCTGACAACTAGATAAGGACAATCAGATGACTAGGACTGACAGGACTGATGAAGTGGAATTGGAATTTGGACTAAGAGATGGTGAACACTGAGATGAAATCGGTTTTATTGGTTTTTATTGTTGTAATGCAAAAACTGATTGTTAATTGTTTAACTGCTGCTATATTGTTTTTATTCTACTGTTATGTTGATGCCGGCATCGAATTGTGCCTTTGTAAGCCGCCCTGAGTCCCCTCCGGGATGAGAAGGGTGGGGTAGAAGTAACTGAAATAAATAATAATAATAATAATAATAATAATAATAATAATAATAATATTGTTCAAGGCAGGGGAAGACAGAAGAAAGTTGCTCAATACTATATCCTAATCCAGGTCCAGGAAAAACAAAAAGGTATTTCTTGAAATATTTTGAAGTATCAACAGTGTAAAGTGTGTTCAGAGAGAGAGGAATGATCAAGGAGCACATGGCAAGACAAAAACCATCTGAGGGCATTGTACCCGGTCATGATGCTGGCCTCAAACAGCAGAAACAGGAGGGTGTTGGATTACCTCTGGTGATGGGAGTTGTTTGGGCACATCTCCATCCAGTGGCTGGGTCAAGAGCATGTCCCCCAAAATAGCCTTCATGTGCCGGGCCATTGTGGATTGTTGTTCTAGGCCACAGTGGTTTTCCAGGGAGAGAATCAGAGGATAGGAGGAGTGCTGGAGATACAAAATAGAGTCAATAGCCACCTTCCATATCTAACAGGCCTTTTCAAGTGACTCTAAGAGCACAGGAGTAGTGAGTAAAAAAAAACCTATCAAAGCACATCCATTAAAACAAATGATGGCAGTCATCTGTGTGTGTTCTGAACTGTGAGAACAGTACAAGGCTGAATAACTCTGACAACAGACAAATTTATTCCATGTATTAGATAAAGTAGATGCAAGGCTAAGAAATATATGTCAAAACACTGAGAGAGAACCCTTACAACTTGGATTTTATGTTTTTATCTTATGAGAATAACAAAATGCTGTGTTGCCTCAAACTCAAGGACTCTCCCATAGAGAACTCTGTTTCCCACAGAAGTCAACTGTATTCGACAAGCAGGACATATAATAGTGGCACTTTCTCTCTCTGCTGTCCACCAGACTATTTCTTTTAAAAAAAAGACAGGTCTGCATAGCAAAAAATAAACAAAATAACAGAATGAAATTACAGTGAATGTTTTTTCTGATCCCTGTGAATATATTTATTCGTGTTTCAGCATAGAGACAGATGTGTATCATTTCAAGGCACAGTAATTCAGTTGAACCAGAGGTTAAACCAATCTCTTATAAGAGATACGGCGATACATAAATTGTAATAATGAAATATATGGGGACATAATGTATCCCATGAAAAATGTGCATTTATATTTTTAAAAATATATGATTTGTTGCTTGATTCACATAGAAATTTGCACAACACACCTACACACTGCAGCCGACACACTAACGTATTGTCACACACAGTTTGGAAAGCTCTGCTGTAAACTGTAACTAACTAATCATGAAATTAATTAAGGAAAACAAACAAGCTTCAGAATTCTGAAAGTGGTTTGTTTCTACTCCTACTACCACAGTTTACCAGGTTCAGATGGCACGCAAAATGTGGCTGAATAAAAAGGAAAACCAAAGCATCTAAGATCCTCTGGGTAGCAGCAGCAGATGGATGCAGGCATGGATGAACCATGACTCATACAAGTTCATTTTTTCTTGCTAACTGGATTATAATATTATTTTTTTATTTGTTTATTTACAATTTTTATATTCCGCCCTTCTCACCCTGAAGGGGACTCAGGGCAGATCACAATGTACATATACACGGCAAACATTCAATGCCGTTTTTGACATACAAGACATACAGACAGATAAGAGGCCATTCCGTAGATCTTCCAGGAGGTTGAATAATGAATAATGTTCATTTCTAGATATATATTTTTTGTCGTGTCAGCAGCGACTTGAGAAACTTCAAGTCGCTTCTGGTGTGAGAGAATTGGCCGTCTGCAAGGACGTTGCCCAGGGGACGCCTGGATGATTTGATGTTTTTTATCATCCTTGTGGGAGGCTTCTCGCATGTCCCCACATGAGGAGCTGGAGTTCATAGAGGGAGCTCATCCACGCTCTCCCCGGATTTGAACCTGCGACCTGTCGGTCTCCAGTCCTGCCGGCACAGGGGTTTAACCCACTGCGCCACCGGGGGCTCCTATAATGTTCATTTCATGGATGCCATCACAGATTTTTTTTTTCCGTGTCAGCAGCATCTTGAGAAACTGCAAGTTGCTTCTGGTGTGAGAGAATTGGCCTTCTGCAAGGACGTTGCCCAGGGGACGCCTGGATGTTTTGATGTTTTACCATTCTTGTGGGAGGCTTCTCTAGTGTCTCCGCATGGGGAGCCAGAGCTGACAGAGGGAGCTCACCCGTGCTCTCCCCAGATTCGAACCTGCGACCTGTCGGTCTTCAGTCCTGCTGGCACAAGGGTATAACCCATTGCGTGACTGGGGGCTCCATCACAGAGATGAGGGGAATACATAAATTTGAGTGAGCATCCCTTGTGAAAGGTGCCTATGTTACTCTCTCAACACAGGGCTGTTTAATCAAGATTTGTATTTTATGTTTTCATAAAACTTGAGATTGAAGCCCTCTTCAGGTGCTCAGAATGCACAGGGATGTGTGAGTCCGCACTACCCAAACATCTCCATGCATTCTGCTTCTCCGTCCTCCACCTCATTATTAGTATTGGGCAGAAAGGTCTAAGGCAGGAGTCCTCAAACTACGGCCCGAGGGCCGGATACGGCCCTCCAAGGTCAATTACCCGGCCCTCGCTCAGGGTCAATCCAAGTCTGAAACGATTTGAAAGCACACAATAACAACAATCTTATCTCATCAGCCAAAAGCAGGCCCACACTTCCCAATGAAATACTAATAAGCTTATATTTGTTAAAATTGTTATTCATTTTAATTATCGTATTGTTTTAAAGTATTTTTGCCCTACAAATAAGATATGTGCAGTATGCATAGGAATTCATTCGTACTTTTTTCAAATTATAATCCAGCCCTCCAACAGTTTGAGGGACTGTGACCTGGACCTCTGTTTAAAAAGTTTGAGGACCCCTGGTCTAAGGAGTTGTAAACAGCCCTCAAAATCTTCCCACAATTCTGTATAATCACAACTCCTACTTGCTCAGAAAAATCTTAACCCTCTTCAATTCAATGCATTCAAACTCTATCTTTAGGCCATCACTAGACAATTGCAGTTGACATAAGGTTTATGCCACTCCATGTCTGGCCAAAAATCACAACTGCAAATTACTTCCAGTAGTGATTTTCAGGTTGTTTAGAGAGCTGGAAGAGAGAGGCTTAAAGTGTGCTTTATGTCTACTTCTGGGGATTTCCAGGACTAACTATTGACCCTTTTCAGGCATCTTGTCAGTTTTTGAAAGGAGAGAATTATGTCTGAGATGGCATCTAAGCACATCTAGGGAAATGCAAAAAAATCTAGGAAATCACATGTGGCTCACAGGCTGCACTTTGTTCACCTTTCAACTGTAGACCTTTGCATTTAGTGGAGGACAGAGGTAGAGCTGCACACATGCTCTCATATGGTTTGCCTGCTGTTTCCAGTGCTTTCAATGAATCGACTCTGCATTGCTTTAGAAGCCCTATTCATTCATTTGACAAACCTTCGTCAAACGTTCATCAGAGGTTTGTCAAAGATTTGTTAGACATTTGTCAGATATTATTAATTTATTTACGACGTTTATATGCCACACTTCTCACCCCAAAGGGGACTCAGAGCACAACTTGCATTATATATATATATATATATATATATATATATATATATATATACACATACACACACACACAAACACACACACAAAATATATTATATTATTACATAGTACAATATAAGTATTCATTATTACTATATTGTATTATACCATTATATTGTAATATTATTAGTAAATATTACATGTAATATAAATATATAATTATAATATCATATTATTAGTAGTAGTATTATATCGCATTACATTATAATATTATAGATTTTATATGTATATACAATATGTTATAGAATCATAGAGTTGGAAGAGACCTCATGGATCATCCAGTCTAACCCCCTGTCAAGAATCAGGAATATTGCATTCAAAGCACTCTGACAGATGGCCATCCAGCCTCTGTTTAAAAGCTTCCAAAGAAGGAGCTTCCACACTCAGGGGCAGAGAGTTCCACTGCTGAACGGCTCTCACATTATATTATATTATATTATATTAGCCGTCCCCTGCCATGAGTTGCTGTGGCCCTCATGGGGGGTTCTGTGTGGGAGGTTTGGCCCAATTCTATAATTGTGGGGTTCAGAATGCTCTGTGATTGTAGGTGAACTATAAATCCCAGCAACTACAACTCCCAAATGTCAAGATTCTATTTTCCCCAAACTCCACCAGTGTTCACATTTGGGCATATTGAGTATTCATGTAGAGTTTGGTCCAGATCCATCATTGTTTGAGTCCACAGTGATCTCTGGATGTAGGTGAACTACAACTCCAAAACCAAAGGACACTGCCCACCAAACCCTTCCAGTATTTTCTGTTGGTCAGGGAGAACTGTGCTAAGTTTGATTCCATCGTTGGTGGTTCAGAATGCTCTTTGATTGTAGGTGAACTATAAATCCCAGCAACTACAACTCCCAAATTACAAAATCAATTTTTTGAGTGAAGGACATACATTGGGTTGTTAGGTGTCTTGTGGCCAAATTTGGTGTCAATTCGTCCAGTGGTTTTTGAGTTTTGTTAATCCCTGTTAAATGTAATGTTCATTAATAACAAACAAACATTACATTTTTGTTTATATAGATTATATTATATTATATTATTAACAAAGCACAGGAGACAAGGTAGAACTGTCCCCTGGCTCCCTCTCTCTTCACTCTGGCCCAGAGCAGAAGTTGGTGATGAGGGGGAGGGATCCCCAACTGATGACATATGCAGAGACAAGATGGAACTATCCCCCGTTACTACATCACGAATGCACCACAACCACACCATTACCAAATTTTTGCAAAATCAAAGATTTGTAAAATTTCTCTTAACTATCTAGTGGTCTCCAAGGCAACATTTGTTTTACAAAAAAGTTAATTATGTTGAATACAAATAAGTATTCACTAAAATTGTGTTGCCAGTTCTAACTGGAGTAACCTAATAAAGCAAATAGATGGGTTGTTGTAGGTTTTTTCGGGCTATATGACCATGTTTTAGAGGCATTATCTCCTGACATTTCGCCTGCATCTATAGCAAGCATCCTCAGAGATTGTGAGGTGACCAATAGTGAAAGGACCAAGCCAGTGATCCCCTGTTTGGGTATCAGCCAGCACGTCAACAACTTAAATCAAGAAATAGTTTTCTAAGATCTACAGAGACACTAGCTGGAACACCTCAGCAAGCGAGAGTCCAAAAGTGGCAGGCTCAAACCCAGAACCTCAATCAATGGCTGATACCAAATGAGAGACTCCCCCCTGGGCACACAGAAAACTGGGCGACTTGGAAGGCGCTGAACAGACTGCACTCTGGCACCACGAGATGCAGAGCCAACCTTAAGAAATTGGGCTACAAAGTGGAATCCACGATATGTGAGTGTGGAGAAGAGCAAACTACAGACCACCTGCTGCAATGCAACCTGAGCCCTGCTACATGCACAATGGAGGACCTCCTTATGGTAGCACCAGAGGCACTCCAAGTGGCCAGCTACTGGTCAAAAGACTTTTAATCAACTACTAAGCTTGCAAACTTTGTGTTTTGTCTGTTTGTTTTGTTAAAAATGCAATACAACTGTTTGGTTTGCTCCTGACACGATAAATAAATAAATGGCCATATAGCCCGGGAAAAAAAATCTACAACAACCCAGTGATTCCAGCCATGAAAGCCTTCGACAATACAAAGCAAACAGAATTTAGGTGTAAAACTGTTAAGGTCAGGCACCAACTCTAAAGAAATACTCCTCCCTTTGTGTTTTGCTCAAGATGTACACTTCTTCTAGGATGGTCTCTGTTGTGATATAACATGTAATTATCTCAAACCAAAACAAAGAAGTCTATATTCTCTTTCTTCTTTCATTGTTTTGAACCAATTAACTTTGCACATAATGATACCAGTAGCTTTTCCCTTCTCTGAGAAACCTGGAGGCAGAAATGTTTTGGATTTTGGAATACTTACATTTGCACATATGTACACATGAGAACTCTTGGAGATGAAACCCCAAAATGAAACTGAATTCATTTTTTGCTTCACATACATCTTATACACATACATACCCAGAAGGCAATTTTATACAAAAAAAATTGAGTATTGTGCATGAAACAAAGTTTGTGTATGTTGAACCATCAGAAAGCAAAGGTGTCACTATCTCAGCCACTCATTGCACAATATTGGATTTTGGGATTCAAGATAAGGGATGCTCAATCTGGATAATTAATGGCCTAAGGTTTCTTCAACCAGGTTACAGTTGTGGTAAAAGGACTCTCTGTAAAATGTTTATGCTCCAGATTTCAAACGTAACTGCACCCATGGGAAGTTTTGTTCAGCTTACCTTGAATGCATAGTCCCTGATGCTTTCAATGACATCCCGGAAAAGGATCTTGGAGGTGAGTGTGTGACCATGATAGATGATGGGCTCTCCATTGGAGCCCTCCCAGCAATCAAGCTCCACACATCGGCACCCTTTCATCAATGCCCTGCCAAAGAGAGACAGTGGAGGGGATTTACAGCAATGGGAAAAAAGCAGAAGAGAGAGTTAAGGGAATGCAGCTCCAAGCTCCCTCTCAAAGGAGTTTAAGATCTTTTGGGGAGGCTCTGCTCTCAGCCCCGCGTTTGGCAAGGAAGAGGGACAGGGCCTTCTGGGTGGTGGCCCCCCGCCTGTGGAATTCACTTCCCGGTGAAATTAGATTATCAACGTTCCTCCTTTCCTTTAGAAAGAAGTTAAAAACGTGGATGTGGGACCAGGCCTTCGGGTAATCTTGCTGACAATAACAGTGACAATTATGATAATTGCTATGGAAATGGACTATGGACATGCTTGATGGAGTCTCGGCTCAGATAAGGCCACCAGGCTGTTATTGAAACAGAAACAGATTTTAATTAATTAATGCAATTTAATGTTTGAAATGTATGTAATTATTGGATTTTATTATGTACTAGTTGTACCCGCCATGCGTTGCTATGGCCAACCTCCCCTCCCTCCCTCTTTATTTCTTTCTTTCTTTCTTTCTCTCCCTCTCTCTCTCTCTCCTTCCTTTCTTTCTTTCTTCCTCCCTTCCTTCCTTCCTTCCTTCCTTCCTTCCTTCCTTCCTTCCTTCCTTCCTTCCTTCCTTCTCTTCTTCTTTCCTTCCATCCCTCCTTTTCTTTCTCTTCCTCTTTCTCTCCTTTCTTCCTTCTCTATGTATTCTTGGACTGCAACTCCCAGCAGCCCTCCTGATCGATCTACCTACCTACCTACCTATCTCTATCTAATCTATCTGGAGGACTGCTGGGAATTGCAGTCCAGGAATAGGAAATTGGAAATATGCAGGGACTAGGATGCTCTCAAAGAAATCCAAGAAGAGGAAAGCTTGTAGCTTGGAAGCAGTGCATTTGGATCATCCTCCTGTAGTCTGGAAGAGAGTGTGGATATGCTATTGTGTGTTTTGTTTGCCAGGGGGAGTCGTTTTTGCACATGCACTATAGCGTCTTTTTGCTTTTTTGGATTTTTAGTCCCTTCTGTTGTGTTTGTCAGTGTTTTTATGAGTGATGGTCACTTGTTGGCCTGATAGGTGTATTGTGTCCAAATTTGGTGTCAATTTGTCCAGTGGTTTTTGACTTATATTAATTCTACAAACAAACATTACATTTTTATTTATATAGATTTTATTATGTGTACATTGGAGGCATCGAATTGTTGCCGGCTGGAAGCTGCCCTGAGAAGACGGGGTGCAAATATCTGATAATAAATAAATAAAGGAAAGGTTTAGCACAATTCCTGCTAACTCTTGGCTGACCTGTTAATAGGCAACCTTCATCCTGCCCTAAGGACAACCTGGGATGTAATGAAGTCTGGTTAGGTCTGCACAAATCTGGAATGTTTTTAAAGCCTCCATGCTTAAAGGTTTACGGTCAGGCTCCTGGAGTTCAGGAAACAGAAATGTTTATATTTGAATAAATACTAGCCTGGCAAAGGAACAAACCATATACTGGCTGCCAGCAGGCATCAAAACAGAAGGTTGACCTGGACTTTAAAAGACTTGCGTAATCATTTTAATGCTTATTTTAATACTCAAAGAAGATAACAACCCATGGACATGTTGTGCATTCTTTCCCTGGTATTACAAGGCCCCCACTGCATAAGATCAACCTGTATTAGACATTTCAACAAGAGGATTTATCTGGCTTTGATCAAGCAGTCAGAGTTGGTACAGTCAAGGACAGATTGTGGAACAGGTTCCATAACACAGTAAAAGGAGCACGGGATGGTTGGCCCTCAAAACTATTTCCATCACACTTCATAATCGACCATGCTGATTAAGGTTTCTTTTTCAACAACTCTACAATTATTTATTTATTTATTTATTTATTTATTTATTTCGGGCACTTCTACCCCGCCCTTCTCAACCCCTGAGGGGGGACTCAGGGCGGCTTACAACCGGCACAATTCGATGCCAACAATTCAACAGATAAAATACATAACAGCAATAACCACAATAGTTAAAACATTCAATTAATACAATAACAACTAAAAGCCAATCTAGTGGCCAACGTTCACCGAGTTCTAAAATCCGTAAGTCCATTCAGCATTACCATAGTCCTTTCCAGATTCTGGTCGTCATTACCTTGTCAGTCTGCCATATTACCCAAAGGCCTGGTCCCATATCCATGTTTTCAGCTTCCTTCTGAAGGAGAAGAGGGATGTTGATGACCTAATTTCCCCGGGGAGTGAATTCCACAGGTGAGGGGCCACCACTGAGAAGGCCCTGTCCCTCGTCCCTACCAGCCTCACTTGTGATAGAGGCGGGGCCGAGAGCAGGGCCTCCCCAGAAGATCTTAAACTCCGAGGTGGGACATAGAAGGAGATACATTCGGACAGGTACGCTGGGCCGGAGCCGTATCATTAGTTCAAGGCAAAAAATGAGCACACATTGCATTAAGTATCAGGTAGGGCAAAGAAAAGGGTCAGATCTGTGTCATTACTTCTTGGTTCAAATCACTCAAACTGATGGAACAAAGTGGAGCAACAGATAAACTGGTTTGGCTGTTCTCGTCACTGGTTCCCTCTCCTTCCATCATTAGGACATGGAGAAAAAATCACAGGGCAAGAGTTCTGCCTTGAAAGGTATGTGTACTGTGGGACCTTGGTATCTACTGAGATTTTGTTCCAGGACCCCCATGGATACCAAAATCTGTGGATGCTCAAGACCCATTATATACCATGGAATAGTCAAGTTGTTTTAAATTGTGTCCTTTATATAAAATGGCAAAGTCAAGGTTTGACTTTTGGACTTGTTAAAAATATTTTCAAGTCATGGATGATTGAGTCCATGGATACAGAATCCTTGTGTAATAAGAAATTCAATGTGCAAATTTGATAAATGTGAATTTAATAATTATGTGTGGGAATGAATGGAAGGATGGAAGGATGGATGAATGGAGCTAATAATTTTGGAAACACCAGTATAATATTAAGGCCTGCAATGACTAACTACCTGCTTGCTGGACTTGCTAATGAGAAACCTTGATAAGAACGGGACAGTGATAAAGGAATGTTTGCAACCTTCCTTATGTTACGAAGGAAGTCAACACAAGCCTTGTGTTTGTTAACACCAATCAAGAAGATCAACACTGAGATGGATCCAGGATGGAAGACGTCTATCATTAATTTGCAACTTTGGGACTACATCAACGGAATATTCCTATAAAAGACCAAGTCTAATAATGCTCAAATTGTGACAGACAGAGATGCTGTTCACCCGCCATGCTCTGCTCCATGGGAAGGAGAGAGATGGTGTATTCGGAGAGTGGCAGATCTGCAAGGGTGCAGTCTGGTCGATTTGGCCTTATTTCTCAAGGGAAGAGGAAGAAGTGTGCTTTTGGAGTCTTGGATTTTGTGCAGGGAGTCAAGTTCTGCTGTATGGAAAACAGAGATCTGGTCCTTGGCATTGTTCTTAGGGAAGAAGTTTTGGCATTTCAGCGTTTTGAAGTTATGGTATTATGGAAGTTATGGAACTGTGCATTGGCAGGCTGCAGGAAATCAGGGTCTGACCTAAGAGGTGCTTCTCCAAGGAGGGAGAAAATGATATGGTAACATTTGGATGCTCCAACGTCATTGAAAAGTCATTCATGACCCATGGATATGGAGGGCTAACTGTATATAAGTATTTTCCTTATTTCTTAGACTTGGTGGTATTTTTTGATGGCAAAGTCTGTGCAACTGTGGTAGCTGCTTAATTTATCATGCTTAACGACATCACCAAGCTTGCATCCTCTGGCATCTCGAGTTGGACACATATTTGTGTTTGACACTAAAATCTCAAAGCCGGGAATCAGATCCTGCTGCCAATTTTTCCATCAATTACTAAGATTCGCATTTATGTTGTGGTAACAAACCAGCCAGCTCCACATTTCATCAAACTCTGTTCAAACTCTTGTGGGAAATACTGGTAGTTTGTCATGGTGTAAACACTTCAGGGATGACTCAGAGGAACTTTCCACATTGTTCCTTTGGGGTTATGGGACAGAAAATTAATAAAACCACCTGAGCCTCAGACAGGTGACATAAACAGAAAATTCTAAAAGGGCAATCCCGGCCCCAGGCACCAAACTAGTATTCTCTCTTCATTCATTCCGTCTCGGCACAAAGCCACCTTCAGAAAACCATTATTCCATCACACCTGGAGCCCTTTTAACAATGTACAGTTACAGCACTATTATTCTACTTTGACTATCATGGCTGCATCCTATGGAATTCTGGGGCTGGGAGTTCTGCAAGAGAGCAGAAGTCTCTGGCTGAGAATTCTCCATACCCCTCCCTAAACGACAAATCACTGGATTGGAACCCTACAAAGCCCTAAACAGTTTGGGACTGCCTACCTGCGCGACTGCATTTCCATCTACGAACCGACACAATCTCTTCGTTCTTCCGGGGAGGCCCTTCTCTAGCTCTCACCTCCATCGCAAGCGTGACTTGTGGGGACGAGGGAGAGGGCCTTCTCCGTGGTGGCCCCCCAGCTCTGGAATTCGCTCCCCAGAGATATTAGGCAAGCCCCCAGCCTGGCAATCTTCAGGAGGAGCCTGAAAACCTGGCTGTTCCAATGTGCCTTCAATGATTGAATGTATGACGATGCCTGACCAAACTTTGTATAAAATGCCCTCAGAAGCACCTTATTTTCTGGCTTGTGAAATCAAATCCTACCTCATCCCCCGGATCCCCTTCCTGATATTTTCACTGCCCTATCTCCCAGTGTTTTAAATTTTAATCCTTGAATTTGCCCTGTCCACTGTGATCATTCTTAGTATTTAATGTGTTGATTTTTTTACTGTTGTATTGCTTATTTCATTGGTTCTGTATTTTATGTTATTTTATGTCTTGATTTTGTTGTGTTTTGTGTTATATTGTGTTTACTGTATTGATGGGCGTGGCCTTATGTAAGCCGCCCCAAGTCCCCTTTGGGGAGATGGTGGCGGGGTATGAATAAAGTTATTATTATTATTATTATTATTATTATTATTATTATTATAGCTAAAGGGAAATCAAGATGTTGTAATCTTGTAGTATGAACAGGGCCCTGTTCTCCTCTTTTCAAGTCTATGGTTTTTCCACTTCATAGAATCATAGAATCAAAGAGTTGGAAGAGACCTCATGGGCCATCCAGTCCAACCCCCTGCCAAGAAGCAGGAATGTTGCATTCAAATCACCCCTGACAGATGGCCATCCAGCCTCTGTTTAAAGCTTCCAAAGAAGGAGCCTCCACCACACTCCGGGGCAGAGAGTTCCACTGCTGAACGGCTCTCACAGTCAGGAAGTTTTTCCTCATGTTCAGATGAAATCTCCTCTCTTGTAGTTTGAAGCCATTGTTCCGCGTCCTAGTCTCCAGGGAAGCAGAAAACAAGCTTGCTCCCTCCTCCTTGTGGCTTCCTCTCACATATTTATACATGGCTATCATATCCCCTCTCAGCCTTCTCTTCTTCAGGCTAAACATGCCCAGCTCCTTAAGCCGCTCCTCATAGAGCTTGTTCTCCAGACCATTTATCCTGCCACAACTTTCTGTTGTTGTCAAACCACCAAAGCTTGCCAGGAATTCCACCAACCAACCAACCCACTCCAGTTGCCACACTTTTGGCTCTCAAACCTGCCCTTGACTTAAGACACAAGATCAACTTATACACAAGTATATATGATAAAAATATCAATTCATTTCTTGTGAGGTTATACAACAGGATTCACTTTGACTGCAGCTCTCGTGGCATGCAGGTTTCTTACCGGATATATGCCTCAGTGCTGCTGGCTCCCCCAATCTGATTGTCGGTCAGGTAGGTGTTGTGGGAGGAGGAGATGAAGTAATGGCACAGCGGCTGGCTCATATCCTGATAGATCTCTGTGTGGTTCTGGTTGAGGACGTCTCCGGCAGAGGACAGCAGGTACATCATGAAACCATCCAGCATCATGAGGTTGTGCTGCCTGGCTGTGGGACAAAGAGACTATTAGTCGGGGTGTTCTTAGTTTCCATACATTAAGCATGCTGAAGGTGTCCATCTTATAAAACTGTGCCACATGCAATGAGGAATGTCTATAGCCAAAAACAACAGATCCATGTTGTTCCCTCTTTCCCATTATGTAAAATGCAACACACTCTAATAACGTGATGTTTTCTTTTTCTTAATGTATCTCATCAGTTGCTGGTTCTGTGTGTGTGTGTGCGCGTGCGCGCACGCGCGCATTAGAACAAAAATGGAATCTATTATATATAATTCCAACCATAATTTCTGGTTTTGACCTATAAAGCCCTATACCAGTGGTTCTCAACCTGTGGGTTCCCAGATGTTTTGGCCTCCAACTCCCAGAAATCCTAACAGCTGGTAAACTGGCTGGGATTTCTGGGATTTGTAGGCCAAAACACCTGGGGACCCACAGGTTGAGAATCACTTCCCTATACAGTTCTGGCCCAGCTTACTTGTCCAAACATATCTCCCTCTACATCCTGCCTCGCAGTTTAAGTTCATCCGGGAAGGCCTTGCTCTCGCTCCCACCAGTGTCGCAAATATATCTGTTGGGGACGAGACACAGGGCCTTCTCAGCTGTGGCCCCCCACCTGTGGAACTTGCTTCCCACTGAGGTAAGATTGGCTCCATCCCTCCTGTCTTTTAGGAAGAAACTGAATTTGTGGTTCTGGGGCCAGGCTTTTGGACAGCAGGCAAAAATAGCACTTTGGATATGGAATTCGACTGGAATGGTAATACAGCTGTTAATACTGTTTTTACTGTTTTTATATATAGGTCTGCCCATGCAAAGCAGATGAACACAGCATTGAATGAAACATGCAGAATTATCACAGGATGTCTTAATAAACTCTACAAGCTAGCTGGCATTGCCCCCACCCCCACCCCGATGTGCGATGGGAAGTTGCTGCTAAATGTGAGAGAAATAAGGTTTAACACTGTGAAAGCCACCCACTACATGGCTACCAGCCTCCTCCCAGTAGACTCAAATCAAGGAAAAGCTTTATGAGAACTACCACTCCTCTTGGTGTCCCCACAGCAACAGCAAGGGTATCACTCTGGGCAGCTAAACCAGGAAATCCCAACTGGTTGTCCCCCCATGAGGGTCTTCCTTCAAGAATGGGCAACTTGGAAGTCCCTGAACAGACTCAGAAGTAGAGTGGGCAGATCAAAAGACAAACTGGCAAAATGGCACTACCTAAAAGAATCCCACACCTTGTGTGACTGTGGAGCAGAACAGACAACTCCGCATCTGTATGCTTGTCCACTACGCCCTTCCTCATGTACAGAGGAAGAATTGTTGGAGGCTACAGACAATGCCGTTGCTGTTGCCCGTTTTTGGTCAAAAGATATTTAGCCACCTGCGGTCCTTCTATTTTTATCAGTTTTATACTAATGTATGCAATGCTTTTGATATGAAATAAAACTGTTTTTATTGTTTTAATTAATGTTCTATTTCTTGTTTTAATTGTTGTTATATTGCTTTATTATATGTAGTGGCATCGAATTGCTGCCAAATGTAAGCCATCCTGAGTCCCCCTTCAGGGGTTGAGAAGTAAAGGGTAGAAATACTGGAAACCTATATATATAAAAATGCTCTGTGCATAATGAGTACCTTAAAAACGAAAGAACCAATGAACAAAATCACACCAAATTTGGCAACAAAACGACTCACAACTCAAGAAGTGACCATCACTCAAAAATTATGCTTTTGTCATTTGGGAGTTGTAGGTGCTGGGATTTATAGTTCACCTGCAATCAAAGAGCATTCTGAACTCCATCAACGATTGAATTGAACCAAACTTGGCACACAGAACTCCCATGGGCAACATAAAATACTGGAAGGGTTTGGTGGGCATTGACCTTGAGTTTGGGAGTTGTAGTTCATCTACATCCAGACAGCACTGTGGACTCGATGGATCTAGACCAAACTTGGCACAAACACTCAATACGCCCAAATATGTAGACAGGTGGAGTTCGGGCGAAATAGACCTTGACATTTGGGAGTTGTAGTCACTGGGATTCACAGTTCACCTACAATCAAAGAACATTCTGAACTCCACAAACGACAGAATCGGGGCAAACTTCCCACACAGAACCCCCTGGACCAACAGAAAATACTTAAGGCCATCCAGTCCAACTCCCTTCACCAGGGCAAGGAAACGTAATCAAAGCCCTCCTGACAAAGAGCCGTCCAGCCATAGATAATAAATACATAGATATGATTCACACAGAGAGATATATAGATTTGAAAGGGACCCCTAAAGAAAGACAATGATATGTTGCCTGTTCCAGAATAGGCAAACCAGACAGTCTCCACATCAACACTGACAAAGAAACAGCAAGAAATACTGTTTTCCCATAAGCATAAAGAAATTACATATATTAGAAACCAACACTTTCTCATTACTTTATTTTCCAGATCAACAGACCGGGCCACAGCAACACGTGGCAGGGGACAGCTAGTAAATAATAAATGATGCTTTTTATGCTCTCCATGCTTTTTAATCTTTTGCCTATCATGATTATGCCAAATGTTTTTTTCTTGTAAGGTGTTACAGAAATACTCTTATTTCAGCCCCAAACATCAAGGTTTTGTCACTGCACACGGAGAACAGCTTTTCAAAGACACAAGGGCACCATTATGGTGTTATTTATGCAGGGCCTAATAGATCATGGGGTTTTATAAATAACAAGCTTGACAGATCCCAGCCTGAAAGAGCTAGCTAGCAGTTTTAAAATAGATTAGACACCAAAGGAATAACGCGGCAATGTGAGGGTAGTGAAAGCAAGAGTCAATAAGACAAGAATGAGTTATTATTCTGGATCTATGTATATGTGTATCGTCACATCAGGCTATTGGACAAAAAAAATAGAGAGCAGTAACCTGAAGTGACACTTCATGTATCTTATCAAGTGGGCTACAGCTTCTGAAAGCTTATGTCATAATAAAATACATTTATTTAACAGTCATGTTAGGCTATTGAATACAAATAAGACATAAGACAAGGTAACAGTTCATGAAGCGAACTCATGAATTACTTTCAGAAACTGTGGGACTCTCTATTGTTTCTTGCTGATATAAATGAACACAATGTACCCTCTGGAAAATAGGTTATTCGGGTAAGAGGAGTAATTTGTCAGTTATTCTCTTTTCTTGTGGTTGAGGGATATTAAAGGAAGGCATGTTTTGAAGCAAGATTCAAAGTTTGACCATTGGATTATGACTCTAGAGACAGAGTTTGAATTCCAATTTGGCCATGGAAACCCATTAGAACAGTGTTTCTCAACCTGGGAGTCGGGATCCCTGGGGGGGGGGGTCACGAGGGGATGTCAGAGGGGTCGCCAAAGACCATTAGAAAACACACTATTTTCTGTTGGTCAGGGGAGTTCTGTATGGGAAGTTTGGCCCAATTCTAATGTTGGTGGGGTTCAAAATGCTCTTTGATTGTAGGTGAACTATAAATCCCAGAAACTACAAATGACAAGGTCTATTTTCCCCAAACTCTACCAGTGTTCACATGTGGGCATATTGAGTATTTGTCCCAAGTTTGCTCCAGATCCATCATTGTTTGAGTCTACAGTGCTCTCTGGACGTAGGTGAACTACAACTCCAAAACTCAAGGTCAGTGCCCACCAAACCCTTCCAGTATTTTCTGTTAGTCATGGGAGTTCTGTGTGCCAGGTTTGGTCCAATTCTATCGTTGGTAGAGTTCAGAATGCTCTTTGATTGTAGGTGAACTGTAAATCCCAGCAACTACAACTCCTAAATGCCAAGGTCTATTTTCCCCAAACTAATTCTAGTGTTGGTGTAGTTCAGAATTTTGAGATAGTTGACGATTTGAAAGGTATGTTTATATTGACTCAACCATTTTAGGTTGGCAACCTTACTGAGGGTGGCCATATCTTTTTGTGCTTCTATGTCCAAAATTCTTTGTATAGCACTCTGTTTTACTTGGTCTCTTAAAGTGCAGGAGACAGGAAGACCACGCCTTCTTATATATTTGTCAGTAGCGTAATCCAAAAGATCTGTAGTTGGAATTTCATCTGTTCTAATAGGCATAGTTTTGGGAGTTCTATCGAGCTCCATTACATTGATTTTGCAACAGTAATTATACGTTCTAAGTTGAGACTGTGCAGGAATTGTGTAAATTTCCAGTTCAGCTCTCACTGCAGCAACTGAGGTCCTTTTATCTACTCCCAGTATGCCTTTCAAGTGCTGAGATTGTGCTTGTTCTATTACTGAGACGGAACTTAAGCCCCATGCTTCTGCTGCATATAAAAGCATAGGTGTAACCTTAGCTTTATATACTTTAATTATTGGGATTAGGGTACCTGGGTGGCTATATGTTTTTAGTATAAGTACTAGCCGTCCCCTGCCATGCGTTGCTGCGGCCCACATGGGGGTTCTGTGTGGGAGGTTTGGCCCAATTCTATCGTTGGTGGGGTTCAGAATGCTCTGTGATTGTAGATGAACTATAAATCCCAGCAACTACAACTCCCAAATGTCAAGATTCTATTTTCCCCAAACCCCACCACTGTTCACATTTGGGCATATTGAGTATTTGTGTAGAGTTTGGTCCAGATCCATCATTGTTTGAGTCCACAGTGATCTCTGGATGTAGGTGAACTACAACTCCAAAACCAAAGGACACTGCCCACCAAACCCTTCCTGTATTTTCTGTTGGTCATGGGAGAACTGTGTGCCAAGTTTGGTTCAATTCCATCATTGGTGGGGTTCAGAATGCTCTGTGATTGTAGGTTAAAAAAATAAATCCCAGCAACTACAACTCCCAAATGACAAAATCAATCCCTTCCAACCCCATCAGTATTCAAATTTGGGCGAATCGGGTATTTGTGCCGAATTTTGTCCAGTAAATGTAAATGCATCCTGCGTATCAGATATTTACATAACGATTCAGTAGCAAAATCACAGTTACGAAGTAGCTACGAAAATGATTTTATGGTTGGGGGGTCACCACAACATGAGGAATTGTATTAAGGAGTCGTGGCATTAGGAAGGTTGAGAAACACTGCTCTAGAGACACAGAGTTTGAATCCCAATTTGGCCATGGAAACCCATTAGAATTTCTCACACACTCTCAATCTGAGAAGTCAAACCACATCTGAAGAAGTCTTTCAAATAAAGCCACACGAGAAGTTCATCTTAAGGTTGCCATAATTGATTTGCAGACACACAATGAAAACAATATGCCATAAAACATTCTGGAAAGCAGTAACAACCGTAAGTGGCATCAAAATAAAACAGGAGTGATTGTTCCAGGGAACACGAGATCTTCAGATAAGTGAAGTGGTTTAGCTTAACAATGGAAGGTCAGAGGTATGGATGTGTTGGGATATAAGAGCAGAGAGGCGAAGGAGGAGCAGGCGAAGGCTATGGAATGCTCTGAGAGTATAAATGAGAAGTCTGCACAAAATCTGGGTGCAAACAATACAGTGTCTATATTCAGGGACAGCTACAGAGAAGACTGCAAGAAGTAAAACACACAGGAGATGATCAATGATGTAAATTTCAGTACCCCCTCCCATTTCTCAGATATACTCCTTTTCTCAGGGTTTGCAAAGTGCTGTGAAAGCAAGTATGATATAATGGCTTGGGTTTTGGATTAAGAATGCCAGGAGACCAAGGTTGTAATCTCTGCTTGACTACAGAAACTCACTGGGTAGCCTTGGGTAAATAATATTCTCTCAACTTCAGAGGAAGGCAACCCAACCTTCCCAAACAAATATTGCTAAGAAACCCATATGATACCTTTTGTTGCTGCTGTGTGCCTTCAAGTAATTTCTGAATAGGTGTACCAAACATAGGGTTTTCTGGCGCTGAGAGTGTAACTTACCAAAGGTCATCCTGTGAGTTTTCATGGGCAATAAAAACATTTTAGTAGTAAAAATAGGAGACAACCATTGCTGACGTTTTGGTCTACTCACATTCCCCTCTGCCTTGACTAAGAAAATATAGTCATGAAAACTTTATAGATTCTTCACTAGTACTATTTCTCCTCCACCATAAAATATATTACAGATCTACGAGGGTTGAATGAAAAGTAATGCCTTCATCTTCGTTACTTGGATTTGGATGGGAATATTTTAATAAATCAAATGCAGAAAGAATCCTTAGAATATGCTGTTTAACTACCACTATTCACTTTTCCACATAATCACCAGATAATTGGATACATTTCTGCCAATGATGAACAAGTTTTCTGAAGCCGTCACAGAAGAAGTCGACACTCTATTTCTGCAACCCATCATGCACAGATCTTCCGATAGCCAAGCAAAGCAATAATGTGACCCACACATTCTTGTGAAATGCGATTATGCTTGAAATTTCTGAGTGATATGACGATCATCCTGAATCAATCTGTCAATCTTTTGCTTGTGAAACCCGGTGGTTGATGTTACAAGACGTCCAACTCTTTTTTTTTTTTTTAAATTGATTTTATTGGCCTTTCAACATTGTTAAACATATAGCAATACATTGACATAAAGTACCAGTGCACATAACAAAATACAACACACAACAGAACATGACAAACAACAAATTACCCGACTAGACGAATAACTAAACTTAGCATAGATTTCGTATATAACATTAACTTATATATATATATTTATTTTATTTTGAATTTCTTGTTATCTCTCCCTGGTCCTTTCCCCTTAATTAATGTAGCTAAATATTTAATTTTTATTGCGTCCTTATTTTTCTTCTTTTCTCTTTTGCCTCGTCCTCCCCTTTTTAGTATTAAGAAAATGTAAAAGAACAATACCGTGGAGGTAGTGAGAGCAGATTCGCTAGAAGTCAGAATTCTATCTCTGAATAGAGAGTGCATTAATACTTTTAAATCCGGGAGATTGGATTGCCTGGGGAGGGGAAATTGTGGAGCTTAATTATGATTGTACCCACCACCATTAATAACCCAAGTGACATTAAAAGTACTTCCAAGGATAGTCTGGACAGTAATTATCGTTTCGGCCAAGGATTTGCCCTTCTACTCTTTGTATTCGTCATACGTCGGGTGGCTAGTAATTATACCCTCGAGAATTTCCATTATTCCATACTGATGTTAATTTCTTTATTGGATTTTTTTATATAGTCTATGAAACTATTCCAGTTCGTTTTTGGCGGTTTTGGTATATTCTGAGATATTTTATGTGTTAGGATATCCATGTTCATTATATCCCATACTTTTAACAACCAATGGTCTATCGAGGGGATTTCCTTAGTTTTCCAGACTTTAGCTATTACTATTCTGGCTGCTGTTGTAAAGTAAAAAAACAGTTTGTCAGAATTTTTGGTTTGGAAAGGCTATGATATGACGATCATCCTGAATCAATCTGTCAATCTTTTGCTTGTGAAACCCGGTGGTTGATGTTACAAGACGTCCAACTCTTTGTTTGCCACGCAAGTGAGATGTTCCCACCTCAACATCTTTAAACTTATTCACCCAACGACGCACAGTACTCACATCACCATAAACAGCTTGCATTCTCTGATGCATCTCCTTTGGGGTCACACCTTCTGAACAGGGTTCCATACTTCACACTTTAACAACACAACCATTCAATGCTAAGGCTTCCCGTCAAAATGGAACTGTAAAGGAGAGTCTACTGAACGAGCCAGTTCCTGCCGCATTCCAGTACTTTTTTTTTTTTGTCGTGTCAGGAGTGACTCCTGGTGTGAGAGAATTAGCCGTCTGCAAGGACGCTGCTCAGGGGACGCCTGGATGATTTGATGTTTTTATCATCCTTGTGGGAGGCTTCTCTCATGTCCCTGGATGAGGAGCTGGAGCTGATAGAGGGAGCTCAACCTCCTCTCCCTGGATTCGAACCTGCGACCTGTCAGTCTTCAGTGGAGTTTAACCCACTGTGCCATCGGGGGCTCATATTCCAGTACTGCCATCTGTTGAGGAGTCACGAAGTTGGAGGCATTACTTTTCATTCAACCCTCATACTAAAGGCTGGATCATATCTCGTCTCTCTGAACAAGTGCAGAAGAGGACTTGCTTTTATTCCAAAAAATAACGGTCACTCTGCAACCTATCAGTTTCCTTACCTGCCAGTTTTGATATTCCAAGAACCTTAAATCACTTTCCTCAAGCTGTGAACTACCAGATAAGAAGGGAAATCAACTTTTATGACTATGCTGGCAAATGTACCATCAGAACCCAGAAGTTAGTACAAGGGATTCATACCTCTCTCATTCAGCTCATAAGTTTGGATAATATCATTAGCCCTCTTGATGGTTGCTTCTTCCCCTTGGTCATGCAGGAATTCCCGCAGCTCCTCAACCGACAGCACACAGTCCTCTCCTGAGTAACGGTGAAAGATTTCCTTCAGCTCAGGACGCTCCATTAGCCGTGTGCAGAACTCCTCAATCTCGTATTCTTCCAAGCGGTCGTTGTTAGATCTATCACACTCCTGGAATGGGAGAGAGAGAACGAACAGCCACACAATGATGGATAAGGTAGATAACACAGGATGAACTTAAGAGTGGAAAGATAAACAACCCAGTCACCCATTCTGCCTTTCTTTTTACCGTTGTTATATGCATTCAAATCAATTCTGACTTATGGTGAGCCTATTATATGTTTTTCTTGACAAGACTTATTCAACAGAAGGTTTGTATTTGCTTTTGTCTGAGGCTGAATGTGATTTGCCCAGGCAAGGTTCATCTAGTGGGTTCCCATGGCAGAGTCCTAGATGGTACTTAGACTATTATACCATTCTGCTTCCCTCTTTTTCTCTCTACTTGGGAGCTCATATTTGGTGGCATGGAAAAGATGGAAGAAGAAGTATTTGGGGGGGGGGGGGAGAGATTTGAAGGATTACAATAAAAAACACCAACTAGAGCTCCAGTAGAAGTTCATGTTTGAAATAATAATAATAATAATAATAATAATAATAATAATAATAATAATAAATTTTAATTATACCCCGCCACCATCTCTCCAAAGGGGACTCAGGGCAGCTAACATGAGGCCAAGCCCGAAGATACAATACAACTGAATCAAATACAAAATCCAGGCAATAAAATTACATCAGAATAAAATACATATAATAACAATAAAATAAATGAAGCAAATAAACGTCATATAAAATCAAACACAATGGGCAGGCCAAATGGGCAAGGTAAAATGATAAAACCCTAGATGAGGTAGGAATAAAAAAAAACAGATGTAATTGAGAGGAGCTCAAAAAGGATGAACAGTGGCATTAGTCTTTAAGTTTAGGATGGGGGAAAGTGCATCACAGGGGCAACACTATGGATGGAACAAACAGAGATAGGATAAGTGGTCACTCTTCAAAGGCACATTGTAAGAGCCAGGTTTTCAATTTTCAATTTTTTCTTGGCTTGCCTGATCTCATGTATCTTATGAAGTGGGGTTCCTGAGTTGCCTGAGTTCCAAAGTCGGGGGCCACAGCGGAGAAGGCTCTCTCCCTCGTTCCTGCAAGTCTTCCTGTGATAAAGGAAGGGGCGAAAGGAGGGCCTCCCCAGAGGATCGGAGGGATCATGCAGTTTGGTGATAGGAAATGCGGTCACAAAGGTAGGCAGGTCCCAAACCATTCAGAGCTTTATAGGCGATAATCTGCACCTTGAATTGGGACCAGAAAATGAACGGCAGCCAGTGGAGCTCCTTAAACAATGGGGTTGACCGCTCCTTGTAATTTTCCCCAGTTATTTATTTTATTATTTCTGGTATTTATATCCCGTCTCTTCTCTACCCCAAAAAGGGGGACTCAGGACAGCTTACACAGGCAGCAATTCGATGCCATTACATGAACAATTAATACAATAACCATTAAACAAACCATCAAACCATTAAAATACATAAAATACAAAAGCCATTAATTAAACAATATAAAAACATTTGTTACCAAATAGAATCGTATCCTCATGTAAATCGCCTTTCCAATTCATTTCCACTAAAGTGCTAATTTATGTCTGCTGACCGAAAGCCTGGTCCCATAGCCACAATTTTACTGTCTTCCTTAAAGCTAAGGGGGATGGGATTGATCGTATCTCGCTTGGAAGCGTGTTCTACAGGTGGAAGGCCCTATCTCTCGTCCCCACCAGCCATATTTGTGATGTTGGTGAGAGTGAGAGCAGGGCCTCCCCAGATGATCTTAAGTTACAAGGTGGGATGTAGAGGCAGATGCGTTTGGATAAGTAAACTGGGCCAGAACCGTATAGAGCTTTATAGGTCAAAACCAGCACTTTGAATTGAGCTTGGAAGTGGACAGGCAGCCAGTGGAGCTGACGTAGCAGGGGGGTGGTATGCTCCCTGTATGTACCTCCTGTTAGTAATCTAGCTGCCGCACATTGGAATAACAGCCAGTTATAAATCTTGCTGCCGAACACTGGACCAACTGAAGTTTCCGGGCCGTCTTCAAGGGAAGCCCCATGTAGAGTGCACTGCAATAGTCCAGTCTAGAGGTAACTAAGGTGTGGACCACCATGGTCAAGTCAGACTTCACGAGGTATGATCGCAGCTGGCACAAGAGTTTTAATTGTGCAAAGGCCCTCCCAGCCACTGCCGACACCTGCGCATCAAGTGTTAGCACTGAGTCTAGGAGGACCCCCAAGCTGCGGACCTGTGTCTTCAGGGGGAGTGCAACCCCGTCAAGCACAGGTTGCCACCCAATAGAGCGTAATGCCCATGTTAGAAAGCACCTTTAACCAAAAGTTTTTAAAGAACCCCACACTGAATCCACGTTTCTATTTTTCTGCTAATCTGTTCAAAAATCACTATGGGATGACGGGAAAACACATCTTATAAGGAATTTCAAGTCTTCAAGTTCTGCCAGAGTGGTGAGAAACTGAGGAATATTGTAGGTGAGATTAAACATCATTTATTAAACATAAGGTATGAAACTACAGTCAAGAAAGAGAATGGGCAGAATGGAGGAGGTAAGAGGCCAAACAGGGTGAAAGAAAACACCTGGAGTATCATGGAAGGAAATACCTTGAAGAGCCTATAGGCATAGATGTCGTTCATGTCAATGTTGATCATGCGCAACATGTTCTTGATCTCCTTGAAACTCATCTTGTTGTCTTTGTTCTTGTCAGCCTGATGCAGCATATCATGGATCCAAGTAAAAATAAATATAAGGAAAAAGCCGAGAAAGCAGGGATTTCCACATATGCACATGAGACCATTATAAGAGAATGCTACAGTAACAAAGGTGGGTAGATGACTAGACACCAAGTCCTTTGTTGACAAGTTGAAGATGTGAGTATTTTGAAATGTAATTAATTTATCTGAAGAAGACATCTGCCCTTGTGCTATCCTACTCTGCTGCTGAGTACGCATGCCCAGTGTGGAACACATCTCACCATGCTAAAACAGTGGATGTGGCTCTTAATGAGGCATGCCGCATTATCACATGACACCCAACACCATTGGAGAAATTACATTGTTTAGCCGGAATTGAACCACCTGACATCTGCCGGGGAGTAGAAGCCAATAGTGAAAGGATCAAGGCAGTGACATCTCCAGCCCATCCCCTGTTTGGATATCAGCCAGCACTCCAATGACTTAAATAAAGAAATCGTTTTCTAAAATCTACAGAAACACTCACAGGAACACCTCAGCAAGCGAGAGTCCAAAAGTGGCAGGCTCAAACCCAGAACCTCAATCAATGGCTGGTACCAAATGAAAGACTCCCTCCTGGACACACAAAAAACTGGGCAACTTGGAAAGTGCTGAACAGACTGCGCTCTGGCACCACGAGATGCAGGGCGAACCTTAAGAAATGGGGCCACAAAGTGGAATCCACAACATGCGAGTGTGGAGAAGAGCAAACCACTGACCACTTGCTGCAATGCAACCTGAGCCCTGCCACATGCACAATGGAGGGCCTTCTTGCAGCAACACCAGAGGCACTCCAAGTGGCCAGATACTGGTCAAAGGACATTTAAAAGAATACCAAGTCTGCAAACTTTGTGTTTTGTTTTGTTTGTTTGTTTGTTTGTTTTTAATGCAGTACAACTGTTTTGGTTCGCTCCTGACACGATAATATTAATAATAATAATAATAATAATAATAATAATCCTTTATTTATACCCTGCTACCATCTCCCAAAGGATTCGGTGCGGCTTACAAGAGGCCGAGCCCAAATACATCAGTAAAACAACAATAACAACAATACAACAATAAATGAACTCAAAAACAAAGCAATAAAACAAAGCAATAAACATTAACAAAACACCACAACACGTTAAAAACCTATGGCAGGGCCAAATGTAACAATTAACATTTTTAAAATATGCTGGGCATGACCAGGTGAAAAGGATAGGTATTTGGAGGTTTTTTTTTTTTTTTTGTCATGTCAGGAGTGTCCTGTTAAGAGAGAATTGGCAGTCTGCAAGGATGTTGCCCAGAGGACGCTCGGATGATTTTTGATGTTTTATCATCCTTGTGGGAGGCTTCTCTCATGTCCCCGCATGAGGAGCTGGAGCTGATAGAGGGAGCTCATCCGCCTCTCCCCGGATTCGAACCTGCGACCTGTCGGTCTTCAGTCCTGCCGGCACAGGGCTTTAACCCACAGCGCCAGCAGGGGCTCCTGGAGGGGGATGGGGCGTGCAGACATCCTAGATCTCTAGTAAAGTGCATTTGGGGACATATTGCTTGGAGTTTCCTTATTTTGGGAAGGCACACTGGAACAACCAGGTTTTCAACCTCCTTCTAAAAACTGCCAACATTGGGGCATGCCTGATATCCTTAGAGAGAGAGTTCCAGAGTTGAGGAGCAACCACCAAGAAGGCCCTGTCCCTCATTCCCACCACTCGCGCTTGCGATGCAGGTGGGATCGTGAGCAAGGCCTCTCCAGATGATCGAAGAGATCGTGTGGGTTCATAAACAGAGATGCGGTCACGATAAATTAATAAATCTGAAGAAGGAACACTTCTAATATCTAGTTGAGCAAACTTGTTTTTGTTGCTCCAGAATAAAACTGGACAACCTCCAGCCCATTTGCCAAATCATCAGAGATAAGAGGACATTTAAAGGCATGTAAACTTTAAGACCTAAATCTAATTGCTAGTCCCAACTAGAATAGACCAATTAAATCAACATTTCTCACATATGTGTTTACCTTCCAAGTTCCTTTTACTTTCTAAATGAGAAAATATTTAATTTCGGCCTCCTCAAAAATCTACTGTGCTTTATTTATGGTTAGAGGCAGCAATACTTCAGCTTCGCCTTCAATGTGCAAACACTAAACAAAGCTGTGCTTTGTATGTTTGGAAGGAAAACATTCACATTGGCAAGAATTTAATCACTTTCAGGGTCTTACCCTCCCTGCCCTCAGCCCTGCCCTGTATTCTTGGGCTTGTCTGTTCCTGGAATGCAGAACTTGAGACCCCTCCCAAATTAGAATTCAGCGGCACACAAACACACCCACATCCTAACAGAGGGAGTAGGCTTCAAACACAATGTTTCATATTACAAGAAGGGAGAAGACCTTCCTTACATCTATTAACCAAAGACATTTTGAACAAAGGCTACACAGCTGTTTATCAGAGCGAAATTGACAGTGGCTTGAACTTGATAACTTTTGAGGTCTCTTTTAACTATGATTACACTAGCCATCCCCTGCCACGTGTTGCTGTGGCCCAGTCAGGTGATATGGGAAATAAAGTAATTAGAAAGGGTTGATTTCTAATATATGTAATTTCTTTATGCTTGTTGGGTAAACAGTATTTCTTGCTGTTTCTTTGTCAGTGTTGATGTGGTGAGTGTCTGGTTTGCCTACTCTGGAACATTCAACATATAACTGTCCTTCTTTATTTAGGAGTTCCTTTCAAATCTATGATACTATATCTCTCTGTGTGTAAATCATATATGTCTATCTATATCTATGGCTGGATGGCTCTTTGTCAGGAGGGCTTTGATTACGTTTTCTTGCCCCTGTGAAGGGAGTTGGACTGGATGGCCTTAAGTAGTTTCTGTTGGTCATGGGAGTTCCGTGTGGGAAGTTTGCCCCAATTCTGTCGTTCGTGGGGTTCAGAATGCTCTTTGATTGTAGGTGAACTATGAATCTAAGTAACTACAACTCCCAAATGTAAAGGTTTATTTCCCCCAACCTCCATCTGTGTTCATATTTGGGCATTTTGAGTATCAGTGCCAAGTTTGGTCCAGATCCATCATTGTTTGATTCCACAGTTCTCTCTGGATGTAGGTGAACTACAATTCCCAAACTCAAGGTCAATGCCCACCAAACCCTTCTAGTGTTTTCTGTTGGTCATGGGAGTCCTGTGTGCTACGTTCGATTTAATTCCATCATTGGTGGAGTTCAGAATGCTTTTGGATTGTAAGTAAACTATAAATCCCAGCAACTACAACTTCAAAATGACAAAATCAATTTTTTTAGTGATGGTCACTCCTTGGGTTAGTAGGTGTCTTGTGGCCAAATTTGGCAGCAAATCGTCCAGTGATTTTTGAGTTATGTTAATCCCACAAACAAACTTTACATTTTTATTTATATAGATTGATTTCAGCTAACTTTGATCCTGCTGGATGTCTTCCGTATCTTTTAAACCTTGCTGAGTGGGACTAGTTGGTGATAGCAATTCAACAAAATCACACTTTCTTGCCCAACAGTGCAAATTGTTGCTCCAAAGAGAAGAGCACAGTTGTGGGTCTATGGCTGTTTGTTTCTGGGGCCTATTAGAGGATGAACAGAAAGGATATTGCTCAAGTTTTTCCCGCTGGCTCATGGCTTCACCTCTTGCCATCAGCTTCTTGAGTCCTCTCACCCACTGCTGAGCTTCATTCACACTAATGGCTGCTAAGTCCAGGTTTTTCCTCTTGCCCCGGAAGACGATCGTGAAGCACTGGTTCTCAGGAAAACAGCCACCATATTTCCGAAGCCCTTCAGATTGGAAACCTTCCCGGACACTTTCAATATGCAGGATGGAGACTGAAAGACAAAATGTGAAGATGGGAATTGCATGCAAAGAAAAGTACAGCACATTATATAAGTCAATATTTAACAGAAAATTATAGTGAGGATCTCAAACCACTTTCCTATGATGGTCACTTTTCATAATGTTGTTGTTGTTGTTCATTCGTTCAGTTGTCTCCGACTCTTCGTGACCTCATGGACCAGCCCACGCCAGAGCTCCCTGTCAGCCATCACCACCCCCATAATAGAACTGATAAATGCCACAGCTCAGTGACAGAGTACATGCTGACCACATAAACAGTCCTAACATCTCAATATAGGAAATGCTCTTTTCTAAGATCCTGGAGATCCAGTGCCAATGAAGGCAAGCCAGAGCTACTCAAAGTAGTGGGTCTTTGGACCAGTGCCAGTCTCAAGCCAACAACTGCCAGTACACAAAGAGAATAATAATAATAATACTTTATTTATATACCACTCTATCTCCCTGAGGGGACTCAGAGCGGTTTCCAAGTAATAATAATAATAATAATAATAATAATAATAATAATAACAACAACACTTTATTTGTACCCCGCTACCATCTCCCCAAGGGACTCGGTGTGGCTTACATGAGGCCGAGCCCACAATACAACAATACAAGCAATAATAATAACAATACAAGCAATTAAAATAAAAAAACATAGACAATAAAATATGCAACAATTAACAATAAGACAACACACAATTAAAAACTGTGGGAAGGCCAAATGTAAAGTTAAAATTGGAAATGATGCCGGGACATGGGCGAAAAGGTGAAAGTGGCGTTTGTGGAAAACATACAAGCAGACCTAATATAAAGTGCTTTGGAGGACAAAGTGCTATGGGATCATTATTCTGGGAAGGCACACTGGAACAACCACGTCTTCAAACTCCTCCTAAAGACTGCCAGAGTTGGGGCCTGCCTGATGTCCTTAGGGAGTGAGTTCCAGAGTCGAGGGGCCACCACCGAAAAGGCCCTCTCTCTCGTCCCCACCAATCACGCCTGTGATGCAGGTGGGATCGAGAGCAGGGCCTCTCCAGATGATCGAAGAGATCGTGTGGGTTCATATACAGAGATGCGGTTACGCAGGTAGGCGGGTTCCAAACCGTTCAGGGCTTTGTAGGTAAGAACCTGCACCTTGAATTGGGTCCGGAAAATGAATGGCAACCAGTGGAGCTCCTTGAACAGGAGGGTTGACCGCTCCCTGTAAGGAGCCCCAGTTAACAACCTGGCTGCCGCCCGTTGGACCATCTGGAATTTCCGAGCCGTTTTCAAGGGCAGCCCCACGTAGAGTGCATGGCAGTAATCCAGTCTAGAGGTGACTAAGGCGTGGACTACCTTGGCCAGATCCGTAATATCATCAATACATACAAAGTAGACAACATAAACATGAGATTAACAAAATAATATAAGCATAAATATTGTCGCCATATCACATATATATTAAAAGTAATCCTGACTGTTCAAGGCAGTTAAAAGGCCGGGCCGAGATTAGTGCAAGCTCAAAAATTCTAGGGGGTCCGGGAATTAAGTGCAGTGCTATAGCAGGCAACAACAATAATAGGTACGGGTCTATGGCTATTGGTTTCCGGGGCCTACTAGAGGAAGTGACCTGGTAATTGGTAGGAAGGCTATCCTCAACAATGTCTAGGGCTGAGCTAGAAAAGAAAGATACAAATGGAACCAATGGTGACAAATATGGTACTGGCCCCTGGCACATTAGAAATAAACACTGACCACCCCCCACATCAGATAACCAAAGCAGCTTAGGATAACTAGAGGAGAGTTTCTTACATTCCTAACTTCGGTGTGAAAAGGGCATAAAAATCAGAGGATTCGCAGGAAATTGCTGCTCAAATAGCAGTTGGTTGAAGGAAAAGTGCTGATAATAGTCTGAGAGAAAGACTATTCCTTGGTTAGACCACACCTGGAATATTGTGTCCAATTCTGGACACCACAATTGAAGAGAGGTATTGAGAAGCTGGAATGTGTACATCCTGTATAGACTACTGCAACGCTCTCTACATGCGGTTGCCTTTGAAGACTGTCTGGAAGCTTCAACTGGTCCAATGGACAGCAGCCAGATTGCTGACCGGAGTGGCTCTCGGGGAGCATACAACTCCCTTGTTGCGCCAGCTCCACTGGCTGCCAATTGCTACCGAGCACAATTCAAAGTGCTGGCTTTAGCCTATAAAGCCCTAAACGGTTCTGGACCAACTTACCTCTCTGAACGCATCTCCCCTTATGAACCTGCGAGGACTTTAAGATCTTCTGGAGAAGCCCTGCTCTCGGTCCTGTCATCATCACACGGTTGGCGGGAATGAGAGACAGGGCCTTCTCAGTGGTGGCCCCTCGGCTATGGAACACCCTTCCTAGGGAGATTAGATCGGCTTCCTTGCTCCTATCATTCCGGAAGAATCTTAAGACATGGCTATTTGAGCGGGCATTTGAAAATACGGAGTAACGGATATAATAACGGAATAACTATATGGTGGAACTGGACATTGTTTTAATGATTATCGATTGAAGTATGTTTCATTATAATGTTTGATTTTATTGTTGCTGATGTTTTTATATTGTATATTGTAATTGTGTCCTTAGTGGCATTGAATTCTTGCCTTGTAAACCGCCTCGAGTCGCCGGAAGGCTGAGAGGGGTGGTATAGAAATGTACAAAATAAATAAATAAAATGATCAATGGTCTGGAGAACAAGCCCTATGAGGAGTGACTTAAAGAGCTGGGCATGTTTAGCCTGAAGAAGAGAAGGCTGAGAGGAGACATGATAGCCATGTATAAATATGTGAGAGGAAGTCATAGGGAGGAGGGAGCAAGCTTGTTTTCTGCTGCCCTGGAGACTAGGACGCGGAACAATGGCTTCAAACTACAAGAAAGGAGATTCCATCTGAACATTAGGAAGAACTTCCTGACTGTGAGAGCCGTTCAGCAGTGGAACTCTCTGCCCCGGAGTGTGGTGGAGGCTCCTTCTTTGGAAGCTTTTAAACAGAGGCTGGATGGCCATCTGTCAGGAGTGATTTGAATGCAATATTCCTGCTTCTTGGCAAGGGGATGGATGGCCCATGAGGTCTCTTCCAACTCTATGATTCTAAGGGGACCCCCATCTAGAGTCTGTTTTATTTGTCTTGCATTGTATTCTATTGTATCAAACAACTTTAGGCACAGGCTGCACCATGATCTAGGTTAGGCTGAGAAGCAATGAATAGCCCAACAACAGTAGTTTGCTGTCATGCTGAATGCCATATAACAACACTACTGGATTAGCATCATTGTGGGACACTCCCACCACATGGGCATGTACGTGCATGCCTTCAAACTTGTATACACAAGCCCTTAAGAGCTAGTGGTTAAACAACATTTTACTGTTCTTGTTTGTGTGCAAATTCCTCTGGAAACACACATTTGGTTTCAAATTCCTTTCCAGCAAGCAGGCCCTAACCTTACCAACTGTAAAAATAAAAAGATATCCAAGGAGAACAGACAAACCCAGACTTCTCCCTGTGCTGCACCCTGTCTTGGGTGGGAACAAACTGCAGGTGATTGAAATGTTATGCTAGGGTTAAAGAAATACATATTTCCTCCTGCAGATTACATTGACAGGCAAAGGAGTGTGGAGAGCTATCAAGGCAATGGTCAGACCAAGCTATGAACCAGGAAGTCCTCAGTTCAAATCATAGCCATCCATTTAGAGAAGCCATGGTCGCCTTAGTGGATGATCTCTGCAGAGAGCTCGACAGGGGGAGTGTGTCCCTGTTGGTTCTCCTCGACCTCTCAGTGGTCTTCGATACCTTAGACTACAATATCCTTCTGGGGCACCTCCCGGGGATGGGTCTTGGAGGTACTGTTCTGCAGTGGCTCCAGTCCTTCCTGGAGAGTCGTACCCAGAAGGTGTTGCTGGGGGACTCCTGCTCAGCCACACAGCCATTGTCCTGTGGGGTCCCGCAGGGCTCAGTATTGTCCCCCATGTTGTTTAACATCTACATGAAGCCTCTGGGTGTTTTGGAGTCCAATGCCATCTGTACGCAGATGACGTCCAACTCTATCACTCATTTCCACCAGATGCTAAGGAGGCTGTCCAAGTCCTGAACCGGTGCCTGGCCACTGTGACAGTCTGGATTTATTTTATTTTAATTTTTGTCGTGTCAGGAGCAACTTGAGAAACTGCAAGTCACTTCTGGTGTGAGAGAATTGGCCGTCTACAAGGACGTTGCCCAGGGGACGCCCAGATGATTTGATGTTTGGATCAACGGTCTGGATGAGGGCAAGCAAAATGAAGTTGAATCCAGACAAGACAGAGGTCCTCCTGGTCAGTCGCAAGGCTGAACAGGGTATAGGGTCGCAACCTGTGCTGGATGGAGTTACACTCCCCTTGAAGGCACAGGTTCGCAGCTTGGGGGTCCTCCTGGATTCATCACTGAGCCTGGAATCCCAGGTTGCAGCATTGGCCAGGGGAGCGTTCACACAATTAAAACTTGTGCGCCAGCTGCGCCCGTACCTTGGGAAGTCAGACTTGGCCACAGTGGTCCACGCTCTCGTTACATCTAGGATAGACTACTGCAACACACTCTACGTGGGGTTGCCTTTGAAGACTGCTCGGAAGCTTCAAATAGTCCAACGAGACTATAACTGGGGACTATAACTGGAGACTATAACTGGGGTGGCATACAGGGAGCATATAACTCCCATGTTACGCCAGCTCCACTGGCTGCCAGTTTGCTACTGGGCACAATTCAAAGTGCTGGCTTTAAAGCCCTAAACAGCCCCAGCCCAAATTACCTGTCCGAACACATTTCCCCCTATGTACCATCGCCAAGATTAAGATCCTCCAGGGAGGCCCTGCTTTCCATCCTGCCATTGTCACAGGCATGATTGGTGGGGACGAGAGACAGGGCCTTCTCAGTCATTGCTCCCCAGCTATGGAACCCCCTTCCTGGTGAGATCAGGTCAGCCCCCTCCCTCCTGTCCTTTAGAAGGATGGTCAAAACTTGACTGTGGGACCAAGCTTTCAGGACAGGGCAATAATTTTAAATAAATAAATAAATAAATTTACCCAAACCGGCTTTAATGAAGCCATTCTCTCTTAGCCTTGAGCCCTACAGCTGCTCTAACGAGACCATAAAATTACTGTTTAGAAGTGGTACTGAAAGCATTACTGGACAATCAAAGAGGCCTTCACTGATGTACTACCTCCAAAATGTTTTGGACTACACTTCCTTAACTATCGCCAGGGTGGCTGAAGCAGAAGGCATTTGGAGTCCAAAATATTTGGAGGGTATCAGATGAGGTTGTCTATGCAACGCAGATGAAAAGTATCATGGTTGCTATCCTGCAGGCTGCTTCCCCTCCTCGTCTTACCTATAAAAGGGAAAGAGACCGGTTTTGATGGGCCTGGGGATATAAATAACAACTGCATGGCTAGCTGGTACAATTTTCCCCACCATTGCATGTCTATCCTGGGAAAGGATATGTCAATTTTCCCCATCTCTGGGGAAACTTTCTCCCATGACAGCATCTCTGTCTTGGAAAATGATCTGTGAGGAGAGCCACCCTGCAACATTAAAAACTCTGGCATAGACACTGAAAACTGGGAAGCCCTGGCCCTTGAGCGCTCTAACTGGAGGTCAGCTGTGACCAGCAGTACTGTAGAATTTGAAGAGGCACGGATGGAGGGCGAAAGAGAGTAACAAGCCAAGAGGAAGGCGCATCAAGCCAACCCCGACAAGGACCACCTCCCACCTGGAAACCAATGCCCTCACTGCGGGAGAACATGCAAGTCAAGAATAGGTCTCTACAGTCACCTACGGACCCACTGCCAGGACACTGATCTTGGAAGACAATCCTACTTGGACAATGAGGGATTGCCTAAGTAAGTAAGTAACGGGAAACAAGAGGAAATTCCCACTCAAGATTTATGCATTACCAAAATGATGGATCTGGCACAAATGGACAAACTGACCAGGTTAACACAATCGTCACTCTACGTGGGGCTGCTCTTGAAGACAGCCCGGAAGTTTCAACTGGTACAACGTGCAGCAGCCAGGCTCCTTACTGGTGCAAACTATAGGAAGCATACAACACCCCTATTAAAACAGCCTCATTGGCTGCCGATAAGTTGCCAAGCCAAATTCAAGCTGCAGGTCATGACCTATAAAGCCCTAAATGGTTCAGGCCGCACCTATCTCCGCGATCACATCTCCTTCTACGAACCAGCAAGAACTCTAAGATCTTCCAGGGAGGCCCTCCTTTCACTCCCACCACCATTACAGGAACGGTTGGTGGGGACGAGAGAAAGGGCCTTCTCAGTGGTGGCCCCTGTAAAGATCCCTTACCTTGCCAGCCAGGGTGGCAGGGCCCAGGAAGAGACAGGCTAGGTAGTTTCAGCTTAGAAGGCCTGGCAGAGAGCTGCTGGAGCCATCTTAGTTTAGGGAAACTCCAGCTCAGAGAGGGGGAGTGGCCTAGGCCTGAGCCAGCCCAGCAACAGCCAGGATTGGTTTGGAAAAGAGGGGCGGAGTTAGCCAGATGGAGGGAAAGAGAGCAGCTTAATTTGGACAGTTTAGAGAGAGCAGTTCTGAGTAGAGTAGAGAGCAGTTCAGTTCTGAGAGAGTTTAGAGTAGGATTTGGATATTTTAGGAGACTCTGTTAAGAATAGGCAGCTTGCCTGTAGTTTGCACAGCACAGTAGGCTGTGGCAGACTGAGTTACAGCTATTTTAGAAAGAAAAATAGCTGGGTTTTGTGTTTAAGAAATTGTAACAAAGGAAAGAACCATTCTCTCAAGTAACCATTACGCTTCTAAGAAACAAGAACACTTTTACTTGTAACAGCTAAGCCTCTGAACCTGCATTCACTTATAATTCTGTAATTTGTAATCAATAAACTCTTTCTTGTTATTTTTAAAATTGAAGCCTGAGTCAAGTGCCATTTTTGGTTGGAGTCATTTTCCTTGTTGAATCAACCTCTCCTGTTTTCCCCTCAAAGAAAGCCCTTGATAATACATAACATTTGGTGGAGTAAAAAGCCTTTTATTATTCTAAACAGCATTTTAACATTTTAAATAGCTAGAGGGTTCGTGTTTCTTTAGTTTATGGTGGCAGCAAAGGTTTTACATAATGAGACATCCCCTCAAACACTATAAGAGCCAAAGTGGTGTGAATTCCTTATTGACAGGAAAGACAGTGGTGGGATTCTTTGACCCCCCTGCCGAGACGGCCATTTAAGTAGGGTATTATAGCCCCCACCTCTGGAACGCCCTCCCCAGGGAAATTAGACAGGCCCCATCCTTCCCCTCCTTTCATAAGATCTTGACGACCTGGTGGTTTCAACAAGCTTTTGAGAATGACTAGTTCTAGCTCAGCCCTAGACATTGTTGAATATGGCCTTATTTTTCCTACCAATTACCCAGGTCACTTTCTCTAATATGAACAGCCATAGACCCTACCTGTTACTGTTGTTGCCTGCTATAGCACTGCAATTAATTCCCCGGGCCCCCGAGAATTTTTGAGCTCGCACTAATCTCAGCCCGGCCTTTTAAATTGCCTTGAACAGGCAGGATTACTTTTATATATGTGTGTGTGTTATGGCGACAATTTTATGCTTATATTGTTTTGTTAATCTTATGGTTATGCTGTTTACTCTGTGTGTATTGATGATGTTACTTGGAAACCGCGCTGAGTCCCCTCAGGGAGATAGAGCAATATATAAATACATTATTGTTGTTGTTGTTGTTGTTGTTGTTATTATTATTATTATTATTATGTGTTTCAACTAGAAAACAAGCTAGTTTTAGATTGTGCAAAGTGACTCTAGACTTGCGCTGTAAGTCTGAGATTTGGTGTGCTCAATAGTTTCGGAAAGCTCTCTCTCACACACAGACATACACATAGTGCAAGACTTACAGACATGTTGGGAGTAAGCCTTTTTAAAGCGGGTCTCAAACCAGACCGTCATTCCATCTTCTTGAAGCCGGTAGATCCTTTGCTTCCGTGGCCTGTGTGTCTTGACTTTCCAGAAGAACGATCCTCTCAGCATTACTTTAATATCGTCATCATCTGTCAGGCCTAAAGTGGGGAAAAACAGGTGGGTCAGAATGAAAATTGGCCAAGTATTGCAAACAACTTTGATCTTATAGGTGAAAGACATTTAGTTTTACTAGTGCTTAATCTGAGCCTGAACTTTTATTCAAATGGAACATGTGAAATATTAGCACAGATAAAAAGCACCACCGAGTATATGCAAAGGTGCCCATCTAATCACACTATCTGGGTCAAAAAATGTTTCTGAACTCCATCCTTTTTGTTGACTGGGAGAAAGTTTGGAGAACTAAAATAAAATATTCCAGATCTATGAGTGTAATAGAAAACTGGTATAAGATGTTCTTCTGCTGGCACCTTATGCCCCACCAACTAGCTAGATATTACAAAAATCAAAACAACAAATGTTGGAAATGCAGAGAATTATTTATTTACTTTATTTATATACCGCTTTTCTCAGCCCTCAGGCGACTCCAAGCGGTGAACAACATCAATACAAAACATCACGAGACAAGTATAGGGCAATTAAAAACAATTGCAAATCATTAAACATCCGTATAACAATCATTAGCGCCTCAACAGTAAAATCAGAATCCAGTCTCATCATCCATTATTCCGTATTCCTATGTTCAATTACACTGTTTAATCAAATGCTTGTTCGAACAGCTAGGTCTTCACTTTCCTCCGAAACGCCAGCAGGGAGGGGGCTGATCTGATATCTGCAGGCAGGGCGTTCCACAGCCGAGGGGCCACCACTGAGAAGTCCCTCTCTCTCGTACCAGCCAAGCGCACCTGTGATGCAGGCGGGACAGAGAGCAGGGCCTCCCCAGATGATCTTAGTGTCCTAGCTGGTTCATAGGAAGAGATGCGTTCAGAGAGGTAAGTAGGCCCAGAACCGTTTAGGGCTTTATAGGCTAACGCCAGCACTTTGAATTGTGCCCGGTAGCAAACTGGCAGCCAGTGGAGCTGGCGCAACAGAGGAGTAGTATACTCCTTGAGTGCCACTCCTGTTAGCAACCTGGCTGCCGAACGATGGACCATTTGAAGCTTCCGAGCAGTCTTCAAAGGCAACCCCACGTAGAGAAGAGTGGGAACTTTCTTCCACTCTTGGTGGTCATGTAAACCAGTTAAATTTTTTTGGAGAAACATACATGGATATTCTCAAAAAATATTAAAATTGAAGTTTGAACTTAGACCAGAATATTATCTCTTAAATATAACAGATTTTGAGTTAGGGAGAAATGAGGATAACATATTTTGTTATCTGACCTCAGCAGCAAGAACCATATTAGCCTAAAAATGGTGCACGAAAGAAATCCCGACAGTAGACACATGAATTACTAAAATATTGGATTATACGGAAATGGACTTCTTAATCTTTCTATTGCAGGACCGGAAAGACAGGCACCAAACCGACTGGGCAGCATATAAATAATGTCTCCAGGAAAAAAGACTAACTGTACAGATAGAATAGTTTAATTTTAGTATGAACTAGGACAGCTTTAAGAAGAAAGTGAAAACTCTCTGTGGAATGGACCCCGGTGTCGTTCCCCCCCTCCCAAATTTTGTTTGTATTTTCTTGTGGTTTTATTTTCAATTTTTCCCTTCCCCTCATTCCCATTTTGGTCAGATCCCTCCCTCACTATTCCAGCCCCAATTTTTAATGTATAAGTATGTGAAAAATTATGCAATAAAAATGATTTTTAAAATGTTTCTGAACTGTAGCATTCATTCTACGATAACATTTTGTAAAATCTTACTCCCTAGGACACAAGTGATCAGTTCCAAAACTATCCAATGCCTGACCTATTCCTAAGGCCAACTGGGTTAATGATAATGAAATTGTATAAAACACAGCTTAGAAACGTCACATTTTAAACTAAATGTCCCAGTTTCCCCAGCCAGTATGTCCACTGGAATTCTGGCAGATGTCATTCAAATAAATATATATTTTCCTTCCTCCAAGATTTGGAAAAGGATATAAAGAATGAGAGGAATTTCAAGATAGGGTAGTGGTCTGGGTCTGGATCCTGTTAGATAGGCAAAACTTCCAAAGAAATGCTTGTGTTAAATTACAATGTCCAGTGAAAAATCACATTTCCCAGCTGTGGGTGTGGCAACTCGAGAGGCACAAGTTGCTTGGAACCAAATCAAAGGCAACGGTTATGTAAGCCCATCCAGCTTCTTCTTGGATTCTCAGATCACTGGTCGAATTGGACTAAAGATCAAGATGACTGTCTTTCTCTGGTTGCTCTATGGGTGCTGCTGCCACCCAGCACAGATCAAACTGTTTCCTCTAGAATGCCACCTGAATGGTACAGAAAGTAAGCCCAATAGCCCTGATGCCTGGACACATGCATTCAAATCCTTCTGCAATTTCAAACCAGAATCATAAATCAACTGATGTCTGGCTTAATCTGGCATGTAGGGTGGAGGCAGGTATGTAGCATCGGTTCAAGCTATTTTGCTGTTCAAGGAATTTCACTGATTTGGTATTTCATGTCCAAATCAACCGGCATCAACACTGCAAGCCACCTACAATACTTTTGCAAATGTCTGGTAGTGTAAATACAACAATAGGTGACAATAATGAACACCTTGCTGAACTTTTGTAAGACTTAAAATCCAGAAAGGACAACTGTGAAAATATGTAGGTTGTGTGAGATCCCAATAGCCTATGGTTCCCAAACGTTGTGGGCAGTATGACTAATAGTGATATATCCTGAGAACTATAGGCCAACAATAGAAAGTAGAGAGGAAAATTGTGAGGTGGGGAGAATCATGTCTTGGGGGGGGGGGGGGGGGGGAATAATGTCTCAATATCGAGTAAGGCTTTCCCAGAATATGATAGGAAATTGTGCAGATAGGTAACAGAGCACTAGCATAATGTGGTTGCGCAAATTTTTGTTTTGATGTTCTTCATTGTGTATTATAATATATTGTATTATATATTTTAGAGAAATAACTCTTTAAAAAACGCCACCACATAAATTAGGAAGATATTACGAAAACGTAAATACAGAATGCTAGAAATGTAGAGAGAATGAGGGAACGTTCTACCACATATGGTGGTCATGTAATAATAATAATAATAATAACAATAATAATAATAATGATAATAATAATAATAATAATACTTTATTTATACCCCTCCACCATCTCCCCAAGGGGACTCGGGGCGGCTTACATAGAATCATAGAGTTGGAAGAGACCTCATGGGCCATTCAGTCCAACCCCCTGCCAAGAAGCAGGAATACTGCATTCAAATCACCCCTGACAGATGGCCATCCAGCCTCTGTTTAAAAGCTTCCAAAGAAGGAGCCTCCACCACACTCTGGGGCAGAGAGTTCCACTGCTGAACGGCTCTCACAGTCAGGAAGTTCTTCCTCAGTTCAGATGGAATCTCCTTTCTTGTAGTTTGAAGCCATTGTTCTGCGTCCTAATCTCCAGGGAAGCAGAAAACAAGCTTGCTCCCTCCTCTGGCTTCCTCTCACATATTTATACATGGCCATCATATCTCCTCTCACCTTTGTCTTCTGCAGGCTAAACATATCCAGTTCCTTAAGAAGCTCCTCATAGGCCACGGTCTCCAGGCCTTTTATCATTTTAGTTGCCCTCTTCTGGACACATTCCAGCTTGTCAATATCTCTTCAATTGTGGTGCCCAGAATTGGACACAATATTCCAGGTGTGGTCTAACCAAGGCAGAATAGAGGGGTAGCATGACTTCCCTAGATCTAGACACTATGCTCCTATTGATGCAGGCCAAAATCCCATTGGCTTTTTTTGCCGCCACATCACATTGTTGGCTCATGTTTAACTTGTTGTCCACAAGGACTTGTTGTCACACGTACTGCTGTCAAGCCAGGCATTGTCCCCCATTCTGTATTTGCATTTCGTTTTTCCCACCGAAGTGGAATATCTTGCATTTGTCACTGTTGAACTTCATGTTGTTAGTTTTGGCCCATCTCTCTAATCTGTCAAGATCGTTTTGAATCCTGCTCCTGTCCTCTGGAGTATTGGCTATCCCTCCCAATTTGGTGTCATCTGCAAACTTGATGATCCTGCCTTCTAACCCTTCATCTAAGTCATTAATAAAGATGTTGAACAGGACCGGGCCCAGGACGGAACCCTGCGGCACTCCGCTCGTCACTTCTTTCCAGGATGAAGAGGAAGCATTGGTGAGAATCACCCTCTGGGTTTGTCCATTTAACCAATTACAGATCCACCTCACCGTAGTTTTGCCTAGCCCACATTGGACTAGTTTGTTTGCCAGCAGGTCATGAGGGACCTTGTCGAAGGCCTTACTGAAATCCAGGTACGCTACATCCACGGCATTCCCCGCATCTATCCAGCTTGAGGCCAAGCCCAACAACACATCAATAAAAACAAAGCACCAAGCAAATAAAGCAGTACAATTAATATAACTCACATATAAGCAATAACACGCAAAATTTAAAACCTCATGGCCGGGCCAGATGTAATAAATTAAAAAAATTAAAATAAACACTGGGCGTGAACAGAGGTAGGATGTATCTAAGCAGCGGGGTTTTAAAAGATAATGTAGGGAGACCAACACGAGTAGTTAAAATGCTTCTGAGGACAATTGCAGATAATTAATTGGAGCAGGGCAATATTTCCTTTATTCAGGGAAGGCACACTGGAACAGCCGCGTTTTCAGGCTCCTCCTAAAGACTGCCAATGTGGCGGCTTGCCTGATATCCTTGGGGAGTGAGTTCCAGAGTCGGGGGGGGGGGGGCACCATAGAGAAGGCCCTCTGTAAGAAGGCAAATATATTTTGGAAGGAAATACAGGCAAATATACAGGAAATACTAAAGATAAAAATCCCATGGAGGCCAGAGACATTCCTGTTAGGAATGACGGAGCAAAAACTAGAGAAAAACAATGATAAATTATTATTCCTGAGGACCACAGCGGAAAACAATTTGTTATTGGAGAAAAAAGGAAATACCAAAGATAGAAGATTGGATAGTAAAAATTTCAGAAATTAGGAATATGGACAGATAA